CCCGGCGGCGGTGCGACGCGACGACGAGCTCCTGTGAGTTTGAGACAATTGTGGATGTATGCGCACGGACCAGACCTCTCCGTCTTGACGGGGTGTAGAGTCGTAGACGAAACGTGCTAGCTTGCATTCTGATGCACCACTGGAGGTGTTCCGATCGGTCTCGTCGTTCTCGCGTAGCATGCGGGGTATGTCTCCGCTGTGCGGGTTGGCCGGTCTCGAATCACGGTTCGATTGTAGTGTTGCGCATACGACTCCTTTAGATTGCGATATGGGGCTCTGCCCGTAGGTGCTCTGCTGATACGCCGCGTCGCTGCCAGGGCTACTACTACGCGGATCGAGGCGTCTCCTGGCTAACCGGGACCCAAGTCGCCTTCAGAAGTTCAGAATCATGGTGGACGCCCGCTGGCAAATGGAGAGCGTACCTTCGCAGGTGCTCGCACACCCAGACGTGTCTCTGATGCCGATGTAGCCAGAATACCGGAGGTAGTAGCATCTGCGTTGGCATGGTGTGAGCTTATGCAGGTGTGTTCACATCAGCGCGCGGAGAGCGCCATTGCGCAGCCGTAGCGGAGAGAGAGAGAGAGAGAGAGAGCTAGCGCTCGAGAGGGCAGCACACCGGCGCTTCTTCAGGTTGTCTCTCACCGCGACCTCTGCGCCCCTACCAACCTTGAGGCTCCCTCGCCATTTTCAACACACAGAGACACTGCGCGATCCCATCGCTATATAAGCCCCCCGGATTTCAGACGTCGTACAGTAAGTTCCACTCGCTACTGCCATGCTCGACACCGTAACCGACGCTCCTCAGCCTCCTCCTCCCACTGCCACTGAGCAACCCGCCACTCCTCCGCAAAACCCACCCCTTGATTTACAAGCAACGCCTCCGAAGCCAGGAGTAGATTCCTACGGCCTAGGTGTCTACATCCCAGGCGACATCACAGGCGGCTTACGCAGACACATAATAGCAGCACAAACAGCGATCGGCCCTGACGCCATGAAGGAGATACCGATCAAAGAATTCTTCGAGCTGCACGCTCCTGGGGAGGACATCCGACAGGATATCAGTGTGAAGTTCTACTCTCCACAGTCAATCTCCGACTCAATGCTGGAGCGGGCAATCAGCTACGAGATCGTGAGTGTTCCACCACGTCTTATCCATGCTTTGCTCGGCGATGCTTAAACACTTAAATAGGCGAAGATTGCTGAAAGCGTCCTCAAGGATGTAACCAATAATCTTCCGATGTTGCTGATGGACACCTCGGCGTCATACCTGGAAGATGGCGGTGGCGGCAGCTTGCATCAGAGCACACGCCCTGACCTCTCCATCTACTTCGACACCAACCGCACCCGTAACGAACTTCGTCTGTTTGATGGACAGAAACCGAAGCTAGCTAAGGCGCAAAACGACCCACAGACACAGAATCACGCCGATACAGCGGCAAGATTCATCAGCAAAACGTCATACGCCGACATCGTTGTTGTTCTGGAAGTGAAGAAATCACAGGACGGCGCAGCGTTCACTGTGCTCCAAGCTAACAAAGATCCTTCCGATCGGATCACACGAGATAACACTGAATTGGGGCGTAAAGCTCTAGCCCAAATCACCGAGTACTGCTCCGCAATTCTAGGACGACAGCATCGCACCCATCTGTTCGCGGCGTACGTCTGCCACAACCAGGCGCGGCTTCTCTTCGTCGATCGCGAAGGTTGCCACATCTCTAAACAGCTCACGTACGTCGGACACGCAAATCAAACACTGCATTGCTTCTTCTGGCGGCTCGCGCACATGAATCATCAGCAACTCGGTTTCGATTCGTCGGTGACTCTGGCCGACGGTGAAGAGAAGAAGCTGTTCAAGCACGCACAGGGCATGAAGACGGCCGATCCGCAACGGGCTCTGATTCTCCGCGCTCTGTGTCGTGATCCGAAGACCGAGACCTACGAATCAGTCTCCACGCAGTGGCCACTCCAGCGCATGACGGTCGGAAGCGAGACGTATGTGGTTGGGCGTCCGATCATCCAGACCTCTGCGCTCCACGGACCCGCACCGCGACTCTTCCACGCCTTCCATGTCGAGCAGGACGGCTCGATCAAGGGTTACACTATCAAGGACTATTGGCGACCCGACCACGAGGAGATCGAGCTCGAGCACAAGGTCTACGATCGGCTGAAAGAGGCGAAGGTCACCAACATCCCCACTTGCGTTTATGGCGGCGACGTCGAAGTCAACGGCAAGGTCCAGCGCACGAAGGATGAGGGACTTGTTCACTACCGAATCGTCCTCGAGGGTTTACTCCAGCCTCTTTTGGAATTTGAGAACTTCCACGAGCTTTCGGGTTCATGTTGAACGCTATGACTGGTGCGTTCGCCGTTGATGACCCGCTTTGTCGAATGTCTCATCTCATGTTCACTTTGCAGCCATGAACAGGCTGGTGCGGCAAGCCAAAACACTCCATCGTCAGATCGGCACGAATAGCATCCTCATCCTCTCCGAGTTTGACGACGCCACCCAGCAGATCACGCGAACGGCGCTCCTCGGTGACTGGGAGCTGTCGAAGACCAAAACCCTGATGGACAATGCGACGGGCCCTCGGCAACGTGCGGTAGTGGTAGGTGTCACACATTTGTACGACAACTGCTGTCGTGCTCACATCCGCCCTCTTAGGGACCCTGGTACTTCCGGTCGAGCCTTTCACTGCAGTTCCCTTTACTCCGCCCATATCGACTAAGCGATGAAGTCGAGGCGTTCGTACACGTCTTCCAGTATCTCGTCCTACGATTCCACGTGACGCAATACACTGCCGATGAAAAGGAATCGTATAAGCGGCTGCAAGACATCGTTAAAATGGTCTACGCTGATTTCAAAATCGGCAAGAACAATCTCAGTTACACGGGTGGGGACGAGAAGTTCATAAGAATGGGCTACCCGAAACCCTGGCTCGACCCTATGAACAACCAGACCCTGTACGATATCCTCCTGAGCATCGCCACAGTATCAAGTAAACACTATTCGACGATTGATGGCCGTGAATACAACAATCGTTATGGCCGCGGCGGCGCGCCCCCCAACCAACCCGTTGCCACCCCCGACGACGTCGCGCTCCTTAACGAAGACGGGCCGCTCAGCACTCACAAGGGCCTCAAGGAGATCTTCGGGAAATATGCGGACCACGAGAACTGGCGCAAGTCGGAGAAGGTGCAGCCTGACGGGAAAACCGTGACGGTGTCAGACGACGCGAAGGGTCCCGACTTCTTCCGGGCGGCGGGGATCATCCCGATGGACGAGAACGGTTTCGTGATAGACCCTAAGCGGCCCGCTGGGGCTGAATCTGGTGGCTCCGAACCGGCGAACAAGAAGCAGAGGACGGCCTAAGGGAGATGGCCTGGCGTTGTAAAGACAGTGATCGTTGTACTTGTACGCTTCGTGGAGATAAAGAGAATGTGAACTTGTTGACCAGTCGACTGTGTGCGACCCGGCGCGGCGGTGACCGTTGCAATTTGGGCGCTTCCGATGTTTGTGCCGCATACGCGCCCCGTCTTCGCACAGGCTTCCTCTTCCTCCTCCATCATCCCGCCAACGGCCCAGGGTGTCGACCGCCCCTTCTTCAAGGACGGCTCCCTCGACATCAGGGGCCCCGACGACGTCAACCCGGAGCTGATCAAGTACAGTGCGTCTTCTCCTCCGTTCCATCTCCTCGCTCCTCGTCCCCATCGTCGCCCATGCACTGATAGCGCACCCGCTCGCGATAAACTGGGCCCAGCACGGGATTTGTGGCCGCGGCGTGCTTCTCGACATGGTCAAGCCCTACACCGACAAGCTTAGCAAGCTCCAGTCCAGCTATTTACTACGCACCCGATCCCGCTCGCGGACCTGCTCGCGTGTGCGCAGGTGGCACAGGGCACGTCCTGCCGCCACGGGACGTCCTCCTCATCCGCGCGGGCTTCATGCCGCCCTACAAGGGACGGAGCGTCGCGGGACAAGCCCGACTCGATGTAGGACCGACCCGAGAACTTGTGAGTCCTCCGGCGTGCCCCGCGAGAGCTGGCGGGGAGGATGCTGATCCGATGCAGGCAGCGCGGGCATCGAGCAGGGAGCAACCACTTCGCGGTGGTCGCGTCGGACATGCAGAGCTCGAGGTGCGTCTCCTGTGTGCAGCCTCTCGGCTCTGTCTGTCTGTGTGGGATGCGGTCGCTGACGACGACGGCGCAGCATTGGCCGGCCCCCAAAGGCGTCCCGCACCTGCACCAGACGCTCCTCGGGTACGTCCGCCCGTCCGAGTGCGCGCGCGCTATGTGTGCTCACGCGACTCCACTGCAGCCGGGGAATGCCCATCGGAGAGTTCTTCGACCTCGAGGCGCTCTCGACGCACTGTGCCGAGACCAGCCGCTACTCGTTCTGCTTTTCGTCGTGGCCGCTCAACTTCGCGTGCGTTTTTCTGGCTTCGACTCTGTCTCGCCGCTTGTGGTGCTGATGGGGCCTTGCTCACTTTCAGCCTCGGAGGCATCGGGAGGTCCCCAAACGCCGCTGTGAGTAAGTACATTGCGGTCTTCTGTTACATGCGAGTGCTGATATTGGGGGTCGGCTTACAGGCGTACTTTGGAGAGGGAGAGAGTGGTAGAACGTCGAACAATGGGGTGCTTTGAGCAAAATGTAATATCATCGAGGACAAACATCGCGTTTCACGCACACACGAGTCGCGACGACGCATTCGCTTGCTTTGCCGGAAGCCCACACGTGGGGCGGGGGCCGGGACCAAATCGACGGGAGGCTTGTGCAGACTCTGCGCGGGCTGCGCGCGGGATCGCTCGCCCATACTTATGGCGTACCTGCAGCGCCTGGCGGAGTCTTCATCCGGCGTCTGCGCAGCAAGGAAGTGTGTGATTGCTTATATGAGAGCGAGCTCTCTGGTATAACGCATCCAAGGGTCCACTTCCACAGGAAGCGCGACCCAGAGCGTGCGGTCACGATATCCGCACGCGCACGCGCCGCCATCGCCAGGCTCACACATGTTTCACCGGTCAGCTAGCATGGTCGATTCGAATCCACTTCATCTCGAAAAAGCGTATAAGTACAACGAAGATCGCCTCCAATCGCCGTCAACGTGCAGACTCAGCTACATCTTATGCTTTTTCCTCGCCGGTTCGGAGCCACTGCTGTCGGACCTGGCGAGGGGCCCATAGATCACCAAACCGTTCTCGTCCAATGGAACGATCCCTGCCGCCCAGAAGAAGTCGTCATCCTTGTATGTCGCGTCTTTCTCGTCCCAATGCTGGATGTCCGCATAGTGCTGGAAGATCTCCTTGAGGGCCTTGTGAGTGCTGAGCGGCCCGTCTTCGTTAAGAAGCTCTTCCTCTTCCTCTTCCTCTTCCTCGAAGTCGTCTGGAGCGGCAACGGGTTGGTCGGAGGGCCCGCCGCCGCCGCCATAACGATTGTTGCATGCACGGCCATTAATCGTCGAATAGTGTTTACTGGATATTTTGGCGATCCTCATGAGGATATCGTACATGGTCTCGTTGTTCATAGGGTCGAGCCAGGGTTGTTGGTGGGCCATTCTTATGAACTTCTGGTCCCCACCCCTGTAAAGATTGTCCTGGCCGATGTGGAAATCAGCGTAGACCATATTGACGATGGCTTGGAGCCGCGTATACGATTCCTTTTGACTGGCAGTGTATTCCGTCACGTGGAATCGCAGGACGAGATACTGAAAGACGTGTACGAACGCCTCGACTTCATCGCTCAGTCGATACGGACGGTATATGGGATACTTCAACGACAAGCTCGACCGGAAGTACCAGGGCCCCTAAGAGGTCGGATGTGAGCGCGACAGCAGTTGTCGTACAAATATGTGACACCTACCACTACCGCACGTTGCCGAGGGCCCGTCGCGTTGTCCATCTGCGTTTTGGTCTTCGACAGCTCCCAGTCACCGAGGAGCGCCGTTCGCGTGATCTGCTGGGTGGCGTCGTCAAACTCGGAGAGGATGAGGATGCTATTCGTGCCGATCTGACGATGGAGTGTTTTGGCTTTGCCACACCACGCCTGCTCGTGTGCTACAAAGTGAAACATGAGGCGCGTCGGTCGACAAGCGGCGTCATCAGCGGTGGGACGCACCGGTCATGGCGTTTAACATGAACCCCGAAAGTTCGCGGAAGTTCTCGAACTCTAAAAGAGGTTCGAGCATATTCTCAAGGACGATACGGTAGTGAACGAGGCTTCCATTCTCCGTGCGCTGCACCTCGCTATCGACCACGACATCGCCGCCATAAACGCAGGTGGGGATGTTGGCGACCTGAGCCTCCTTCAGCCTATCGTACACCTTGTGCTCGAGCACCATCTTCTCGTGGTCGAGTCGCCAGTAGTCCTTGAAAGTGTAAGCCCTGATCGAGCCGTCCTGCTCGATGCGGAAAGCGTGGAACACCCGCGGCGCGGGTCCGTAGAGCGCACAGGTCTGGATGATAGGACGCCCAACCACATACGTCTCGCTTCCGACCGTCATGCGCTGGAGTGGCCACTGCGTGTAGACTGATTCGTGGGTCTCGGTCTTCGGATCACGACACAGAGCGCGGAGCAGAAGAGCCCGTTGCGGATCGGCCGTCTTCATGCCCCGTGCGTGCGCGAGCAGCCTCTTCTCGTCTTCACGGTCGGCCAGAATCACCGACGGATCGAAACCGAGTTGCTGACGATCCATGCGCGCGAGCCGCCAGAAGAAGCGATGCAATGTCTGATCTTCGCGTGTGCCGTATACGAACTGTTCCGAGACGTAGCAGCGCTCGCGATCGACAAAGAGCAGCCGGGCCTTGTCGCGGCGGATGTACACCGCGTACAGATGGGTGCGGTGCTGTCGTCCTAGAATCGCAGAGCAGTACTCGGTGATTTGCTCTAGAGATTGACACCCTTTCTCGCTGTAACGGCGTGCCACCCCGCCAGTGTGACTTTGGAACCGGAAGGCTGCGTGGTCGTGGGATGTCTTCACTTGTATAGGGACGACGATGTCTGCGTACGACGTTGCACCGATGAATTCTTTCATGGTCTCGGCGCGAGTCGGAGTCTGTGAGCTGTCGCCGAGTTCGTCGCAGGCATCGGACTCGTCGGGTGGGTTCGCGGCCAGTAGTTCGTGAGTGCGCTCAGTGTTGAAGTAGATGGAGAGGTCAGGGTGGGTGCGCTGGTGCCCACCGGCGCCGAGGCTGTCGTCTTCCAGGAACCTCGTCGAGGTATCTAGGAGCAGCATGCGAGGCTTAGCCGAACAGCGAGTCCTCGCCTCGGCCAGGAAGACTGAGCGAGCTATTTTCGCCTGTGCTAGTACACATCAGCGAAGCAGAGATGTGACATGGGTGAACACTCACGATCTCGACGTTGACACGTCGCCGAGACTTCATATTGCGGATCGAGCCTTCGCTTGGATGGTAGAGGTCCGTAATATCCATCGGAAGATCCTCTCCAGGCATGAGTCTTCGCAAGAACGTCTCGGCCGGGATCTCCTCCATGGTGAATTGCATTTTTTGCATCTATATTACGGTACGCGGATCCTCAGTCACGGTGTGTTACATGGCAGTAGCAAGCGGGACTCACTGTGCGATGCCTTCAACCGGAAGGTGCTTACGCAGAGATTGATTCGTGTAGATTTTGTATGTGCTGATAGTGCTGAGTGAGGCTGAAGGTGAATATTCGAATGTTGGCAGGGAGTCGGGACGCAAAGGTCGTGGTGAGAAGTACCCACCAGAAGCGCCGGTGGCATGTGCCGCGTTCAGGCGTGACTCCCTTGTCTTCCTTCCTCCCATTTCCTCCGACCTCTCCTCCTTGTCCTCGCTCGAACCCGAGCAAGAAAGAAGACGAACATGGTCCAACTGCCTCCTTCCTCTCATCCCCTGCTGGACTGCACCTGCACCAGGAGTCCGTCTTCCACATCTCCAGGATGGCCCCGCTCCCCTATCCCCTTACCCACTACCTCAACGTCTCGCCCCTGCACCCGTATATGCGCCGTACAAGAATATAGGTCATTTTTGGACATTTCTGGATGACTATGGGCGTTAGGGAATGCATTCATGACGCTTTCGGTGAGTTTTCCACCCATCTCAGACTCTATCTATGCGAATTCCCCGATCCACCGTCCACTTCCCTTTCCCTTGAGCCAAGGGAAAATGATAGAGGCTTGTTCTGTCTTTGTTTTCAGGCCTTTGAGCGTACCCCCCTCTGAATTCTCGCATAGTGCCAGTCTGGAACAGCCCGGGCAACACTCCCCGGCAAACCGCCAGGCGCATTGCTGTTCTCTTACATACCACCCCGCCGTCGTTCGCGAATGCGCAGATGAATGAGGCCGCTCGCCTTCGCGCTCACAAGTTTGGCGTCCGTCACGGTGGGCCCCTCTTGGCCTCCGAGTCCAGCTGTGTCCGGAGAGGCGATCAACCCCGTCGCGGTCCTTGTGGCTCTGGCAACGCTGACGATGGATCTGTGCCTTCTGCCGCTCTCGCCGCTTGCTTACCCCTGCCTCCACCGCAGACAGCGTTGCGTGCATCCATGATTGCCCACCCACGTCACTGCCCTTCAATGCTTGAACACCCAACATCCACCTACTGCGCAAGAAGACGGCGGCACAACTCAACACGACCCGCGCCGGAGGACGACGGAAACCACTACCCCAGTCCTAAGCCCGACGTGCCGCTGCCGCCTGCGCACGCGGCAGACGAATATGCGAATATCGACTCGCGACGGGGATGGCCACAGGTGCGCGGACGGGTCGAGCCTGGGGATCATGCTCAACGCCGCCGCCTCCAGGATCCGCGCCGCTCCGTGATTCTGTGTCACCAGAGGTGTCTCCGAGTTCGGTGTTCAAACTCCAACCCCCACCCAAGGTTGCAACCTCCGCCCCGCACGGGAATCTGTCCATCTGCCCGAGGAACGTACGTGCAATGTGCCACCCCGCTCTCCTTACCGGGTGTGGTTCCAGAGCGGCCGTATGGCCCTGCCCTGCGCGAACGAGGACAACGACGGGCGGAGGCTTTCGCCCCCACGACTGAGTCGGGCTCCAGATTGCGTACGACAGTTCTTATACTTGCCCATTCCATATATATACTATTCACACCCATTTTCGTTTCTTCATGAACACGTGGGCAGAAGAGGCGGAGAGGTTGAGCCGGACATGCAGGACGCGGAGAGACTGCACACCTAATCGATGTTATCGGCGCGCAGGCTCATAAAAAGCAGTCTGGGCAGGTGGGGTGGAGTGTGACGCATTACTGCACACCACTGGATGGCGTATGCACTTCCCGGGCCTATGGCGATGGGCGTCTGCAGGTTACAGGACGCACGCCGGCGCTTCTTGAGGTTGTTTCTCACCACGATATCTGCTCGGCCTTCAGGCCTTGAGGCTCCCTCGTCACTCTCAACACATCCAAAAATTGCGCGACTTCATCTATATACAATCTACTTCGGATTTTAGACGTCGTACGGTGAGTCCCGCTTGCTACTGCCATGTAACACACCGTGACTCAGGATCCTACCATGGTATAGATGCAAAAAATACAATTCGCCATGAAGGAGATCTCCGCGGAAACGTTCTTGCGAAGATCCATGCCTGGAGAGGAGCTTCCAACGGACATCACGGACCTCTATTATCCAAGCGAAGGCTTGATCTACAATGTGAAATCTCAGCGACGTGTCAACGTCGAGATCGTGAGTGTTCGCCCACGTCGCGTGTTTGCTTTGCTGATGCGTGCTCACACAGGCAAAAATCGCTCGCTCTGTCTTCTTGGCCGAGGCGAGGACTCGCTGTTCAGCTAAACCTCGCATGCTGCTCCTAGATACCTCGACGAGGTTCCTGGAAGCCGACAGCCTCGGCGCCGGTGGGCACCAGCGCACCCGGCACCCTGACCTCTCCATCTACTTCAACACTGAGCGCACTCACGAACTACTGGCCGCGAACCCACCCGACGAGTCCGATGCCTGCGACGAACTCGGCGACAGCTCACAGACTCCGACTCGCGCCGAGACCATGAAAGAATTCATCGGTGCAACGTCGTACGCAGACATCGTCGTTCCTATACAAGTGAAGACATCCCACGACCACGCAGCCTTCCGGTTCCAAAGTCACACTGGCGGGGTGGCACGCCGTTACAGCGAGAAAGGGTGTCAATCTCTAGAGCAAATCACCGAGTACTGCTCTGCGATTCTAGGACGACAGCACCTCACCCATCTGTACGCGGTGTACATCTGCCGCGACAAGGCCCGGCTGCTCTTTGTCGATCGCGAGCGCTGCTACATCTCGGAACAATTCGTGTACGGCACACGCGAAGATCAGACCATGCATCGCTTCTTCTGGCGACTCGCGCGCATGGATCGTCAGCAACTCGGTTTCGATCCGTCCGTTGCTCTGGCCGACGGTGAAGACGAGAAGAGGCTGCTCGCGCACGCACAGGGCATGAAGACGGCCGATCCGCAACGGGCTCTTCTTCTCCGGGCTCTGTGTCGTGATCCGAAGACCGAGACCCACGAATCAGTCTCCTCGCAGTGGCCACTCCAGCGCATGACGGTCGGAACGAAGACGTATGTGGTTGGGCGTCCTATCATCCAGACTGGTGCGTTGTACGGACCCGCGCCGCGAGTGTTCCACGGCTTCCATGTCGAGCAGGACGGTTCGATCAAGGGTTACACTATCAAGGACTATTGGCGACCCGACCACGAGGAGATCGAGCTCGAGCACAAGGTCTACGATCGGCTGAAAGAGAAGAATGTCCCCTACATCCCCAGCTGCGTTTATGGCGGAGACGTCGAAGTCGACGGTGAGGCCCAGCGCACGGAGAATGGGAGCCTCGTTCACTACCGTATCGTCCTCGAGAATATGCTCGAGCCTCTGCTGGAGTTCAAGGATTTCCTCGAGCTGTCAGAGTTCATGTTGAACGCCATGACAGGTGCGTTCTGCCGTTGATCTCGTCGCTTCTGGAACGATGTGGCTCGTGTTCTATTTGTAGCACACGAGGAGGCGTGGTCGAACGCACCAACACTCCATCGTCAAATCAGTACGACCAGCATCGTCATTCTCTCCGAGTTTGAGGATGGGAAGACCAAGCGAACCGCGTTACTCAGTGATTGGGAGCTGTCGAGGACCAAGACGCAGATGGACACTGCGACAGGCCCTCGGCAACACGGGGCGGTAGTAAGTGTCGCACATCCGTACGAAGTCCTCTGTGACGCTCAAATATAACCTCTTAGGGACCAGGCTGGTACTTCCGGTCGAGCCTGTCGCTGCAGTATCATAATAACGCTTCTAACAGAAAGTAACAAGTGAAATTAGCCCAGCGGTCTACGCTGGGCCGATATTTATGCGTGAACTTCCGAGAGGTGCCCTGGTTCGACTCCGAGGGCAGGAATCTTTTCAGACGCCTGCGGCGTGCGCCAATGAAGGATGATCACGGGATTTCTAATAGTACGTACACTGCTACGTGCGTCAGCCTCCTCCTCCCACTGCTAGTACTGAGCAACCTGCTACTCCTCCGTCGCAGTCAGACAACATGAAGGAGATAGACATCAAAAGGTTCTTTGAGAAATACGTCCCCGAGATGGAACCGCCACCGGAGGTCTTGGATGGATTCTACTATTCAAACAAGCTTGGCTCGACCACTGACGATACAAAACCGGAGTGGCATATCAACTCCGAGATCGTGAGTGTTCAACCATGTCGTGGTTCTGCCCTTCTGATGTGTAAGCACTCGCATAGGCGAAAATGGCTAAATCTGTCTTCGAGATCGAAGGAAAAATTTGTCGCTATTCGGAGAATCCTACCATGGTGCTGCTGGACACCTCGAAGTCATCCCTGGTAGACGACAGCGGCGCCGGTGTGCATCAGCACACCTGCCCTGACCTTTCAATTTACTTTAACAGCGAGCGCACTGGTGACATGCTGCGTGCTAAACCTCACAAGAAGCCAACCAAGACCACTCGTGCGGAGAAATTCGCTGGTATAACGTCGTACGCCGACATCGTCGTCCCTCTAGAAGTGAAGACGTCGCAGGACAAAGCAGCTTTCTGGTTCGAGGGTCGCAAAGCTCGTTCTTCCGAGGAGGTGGCACGAAGTGACAGCGACAATGGACGTCAGCCTCTAGCCCAGATCACCGAGTACTGCTCCGCGATCTTGGGACGACAGCATCGCACCCATCTGTTCGCGGTATACGTCTTCCGCAACCAGGCCCGACTACTCTTTGTCGATCGCGAAGGCTGCCACATCTCGGAAGCGTTCGTATATGGCACACGCGACGAGTGGACGCTGCATCGATTCTTTTGGCAGCTTGCGAGCATGGATCGTCAGCAACTCGGTTTCGATCCTTCGGTGACTCTGGCCAACCCTGGAGATAAGAAGCAGCTGCTCGCGCACGCACGGGGCATGAATATGGCCGATCCGCAACGGGATCTGCTTCTCCACGCTCTGTGTCGTGATCGGGAGAACACCGACAAATCGGTGTCCACCCAGTGGCCGCTTCAGCGCATGACGGTCGGAACGGACACGTATTTGGTTGGGCGTCCGATCATCCGGACCTCTTCGCTGTACGGACCCGCGCCGCGAGTCTTTCATGCTTTCCGCATCGAGAAGGACAGCTCGATCAAGGGCTACTACACTATCAAGGACTATTGGCGACCCGACATCAACGAGATCGAGCTCGAGCACAAGGTGTACGGTCGGCTGAAAGAGAAGAATGTCCCCTACATCCCCAACTGTGTTTATGGCGGCGACGTCGCGGTCGACGGCGAGGTCCAGCGCACGACGAATGAGCACCATGTTGCTTGCGTCCACTACCGCATCGTCCTCGAGAAGATGTTCCAATCTCTTTTAGACTTCAAGAACTTCTACGAGCTGCCGGGCTTCATGCTGACCGCTATGGCCGGTGCGTTCTGCCGTCAATGACGTCGCTTCTAGAACGATTCGTCTCATATTCTATTCGTAGCACACGAGCAGGCGTGGTGCAGCGAAGTAGAAACACTCCATCGTCAAATCAGCACGAACAGCATCGTCATCCTCTCCGAGTTTGACGACGCCACCCAGCAGATCACGCGAACCGCGTTCCTCAGTGACTGGGAGCTGTCGAAAACTAAAACCCAAATCAAAAATGCGAAAGCCCCTCGGCAACGTGGGGTGGTGGTAGGTGTCGTACATTTGTATGACGTTTGCTGTCGCGCTCACATCTGACCTCTTAGGGACCCTGGTACTTCCGGTCGAGTCTGTCGTTGAAGTATCCCTTATCCCGCCCGTATCGACTGAGCGATGAAGTCGAGGCGTTCGTACACGTCTTCGAGTATCTCGTCCTGCGATTCCACATGACGCAATACACCCAGAAGGAAGGGTTTTACGAGGTGCTGAAAACCGCCGCTGACGGTACCTACGCCGCCTGCGCCCCCGGCAGTGACGGTCTTTACACGGGCGGGATCGAGAAGTTCAAAAACATGAAGCTCCCAGAATCCTGGCTCAAACCCAGAGGCAACAAAACCCTATCCGATATCCTCAATGAGATCGCCACAGTAACCAGTCGACACTATTCGAAGATTGACGACGATATGTACTGGGAACTGTTATGGCCTGCTCCGCCTGTCTGGTTACGAGCTTCGGCGCGCACCCGCTACGGACGCCCAGCATACGATCGTCCGCCACTGGTTACCTTGCATCACTTATATTCTCGCGCCCGCTTCACTGTATCGCTACGCGATTGCCTCCTGGCTCCTCCCCGTCGCCTCTCCTTCCCGTCTCCCCGCTACCGCGAGCCTCTCCGAGGTCAAGCGCGTCCTCTAATCCATCCCGCCTTTCCGCTCGTCTCCGACTCGCCCGACCTCCGCGCTCCCGCGCTCCGCGACCGTAACACAATCGCGTGTCCCTACTCGGAGGGCAATCCGAGCACCCTGCACCGCGCTGTCCCTCGCGCTGGTGAGCCGACCATCCCGAACCCTCTCCCGCATTTCGCGCTCTGCTCCGGCGCCTGAGCATCAAGAGCGAAAACGCCCCGCGACCCACGACCCACGACCTCGAAGCCTCGCCGCGAGCCGTTGCTCTGCCCCGAGTGCCGAAGACCAGCCTGTGCGGACCCGCCCGCATTCGACCGCGCCCCGAGCCTGAACCCGAACTCCCTCGATCCGCCCCGACTCCACTCCCGATCCGCGTTCCGACCTGCGCGCTTCGGATCCCGCTGCCTCGTCCCCACTCCCCGTGACCCTCCCCGTGAGGCTGCTCGCGCGATCCCGCACCCGACCGACGACCGACCGACCGACCGACCGAACCGAACCGACCGAACCCGAGCCCGCCGGACTGCTGTTGCAGAAGCCCGCGATCCCGAGGACGATGACGACCCATGCCGCCCACCGCTCGCGCGACGCTGCATGATCGCTCGCGCTCGTCGCCGCGCGCCCGCCTCCTCCGCTGAACCCGACGCCGTCGTCGATGACGCGCGCGCTGCTGCACTTGTCCCCGCGTCGCCCTTAGTATGGGGGTGTCTCGCGCAGTGTACGCCTGCCGCTCTCGACCCGTTGCCTGCTCCGAACCCTCGTGCGCCCCGATGTTTTTGTATTCTCTCTATCCTGCGCGCTCTTCGATATTCTGACCGACCGTACGTTTGTTACCGTACCTTACCGCACCTTCTCCGCCTTCGTGTACCGCGCCTCGCTCGTGGGGGTGTGTTATGGCCTGCTCCGCCTGTCTGGTTACGAGCTTCGGCGCGCACCCGCTACGGACGCCCAGCATACGATCGTCCGCCACTGGTTACCTTGCATCACTTATATTCTCGCGCCCGCTTCACTGTATCGCTACGCGATTGCCTCCTGGCTCCTCCCCGTCGCCTCTCCTTCCCGTCTCCCCGCTACCGCGAGCCTCTCCGAGGTCAAGCGCGTCCTCTAATCCATCCCGCCTTTCCGCTCGTCTCCGACTCGCCCGACCTCCGCGCTCCCGCGCTCCGCGACCGTAACAGGAACTTTACGGCAGCAACCCTGCTAAGGAGGCTTCTGGCGACGTGTCCTCGGACCAACCTTCCGTCGCCCCCGCCGACGGAGTCGCGGAGGCGACAATCGGCTTGCGTCGAGACCCCCTAGAGGACGGGCCGCTCAGCTCCCACCAAGAGCTCATGGCGATCTTCAAGGACTATGCGGACATCAAGCGGTGGGGCGGGGAGAACGCGAAACCCACCGAGTACCGCGACTTTTTCCGGGCGGCGAACATCGCCGTTCCCGGGTTCGACCAGAACGGTGGCGTGATCGACCCCGGTAAGCGGCCCGCCGGGGCCGAATCTGTGCAGGCTAACAAGCCTAAGCAGAGGACGACGTGAGGGAGACGGTCTGGCCGCTGGCGTTGTAAAGATCGTGATCATTGTACTTCTACGCTTCGTGGAGAGAAAGAGAATGTGAACATGTTGACCAGCCTTGAACATGTGAAATTTGAACCGTACACTGCGGGCCGCGGTCGCGTGTGTTGCACTTTGGGCGCTTCCGACGTCGGTGCATGCCGCCGGGCCGTTGACCTTCCTCCTCCTCCTCCATCATTCTGCCTACGGCCAGGGCGTAAGTAGATGCTCGTGCCTTGGGCTCGACGTCGCCTACCCACCGCACTGGCTTCCTTTTTGCATGAACACTGTCCCACGGGGGTCGGATCTTCAGATGCTTCGCCTCCGCGTCGTCTCCGAGCCGCGTCGCCGCGCGGTTGATGGCGTCGGGCGACGTCCGTATATGATGGAGGAGAGCTCAACTGCTCCACCGAGCTTCCACGTCCCACTCTTCGACTCGCACGACGCTCTCAGCATGAAGACCCGCGACGCGCTCCTCGCGCAGCTCGTCGCCCGGGCGGTGGTGCGTGCCACAACTTTGGCCGACTCCCCAGCGGTGCTCGACGCGTGACCTGGGTACGCTACGGACAACGTCGTCACGCAGCGGAATGCGCTCACGGCAGACCTCGTCCTCGCGGGTACGGCGTGCAATGTGATACATCGCGGCGCTCAAGTTGGAGGTCACGTATGAGAACGGTGAGTCTGTTTCTACATTCTATCTGGGTTCCCTTGGGGCGCGAGACAGCCGTGCTCGTCGCGACGTCAAAACCGTGCGAGTGCTATGCGTGTCCTCTTCCCCTGTTTCACGACATCTTCTGCTGCTGCACAAGCCTAGTCTTTGCTGACACCTCAGTCTAGACAATTGGATCCACCTCAAAATCACAAAACCCTCGAACGAGCGATACGAATTCCCGGATTCCGTGCTCCCTGGCTCAACGGCAGACGCGAGCACCGACCCGACCACAACCAGCATCCGCTTCAACTGCACGGCGTCGCCCTTCACGCGTTCTCCATATACCTCGCCTGCGGCCTAGTAGACAGGCTCCGAAGTACAAACCTCTGTCGCCTCGCAGCCCCTCATATTCGAGTCTCAGTACATGCACGTAAAGACCGACCTGCCCGCAAACGCGAACCTCTATGAAATCGGGGAGCCTCACACCGACACGTTCCGCCTGCCGATGCACAACTTCACGCGTACGATGCAGTCGCGCGACGCGCAAGGGGTCCCGCAGGAGAACAAGCTTTACGGGAACAACCGGATCCACGTTGAGCACCGCGCGACGAGCACGCACGGGTTTTTCATTGCGAACTCGAACGGGGCACTGAAGTATTGACCATCACGCGACGCCCGCAGGTCCGGCAAGTCGATCTACTATTGAACTGGTGAGTGCCCGTCTTTCCTCCTCCAGGGCGGGATTGTTGAGGGTTTGGATACGCTCCCGGGACGCTCCAATTCCCGAGCAAGGTACGCTCGACACTTCCATCACGCGAAATCGGCGCCTAACCTTTAGATGCGTCCCGCCAGCCGGTCTTTGGCTGCACGACCCCAGAGCACACTTGTCAGCGCCGCGCCGCTCACAATCCACAACAATGTGCTCCACATCGTGAGTGCTCGCGTGGGTGTGCCGAGATTCATGACCGCTGAGTTCGCGCTCCGACACAACACTCAATCCGGCTAGCAGTGGGACGGGATCATGAAGCACTTCGACATCATGAAGCACACCTGCTTCTACCAGGGCGTCGACCACTCCTTCGAGGACGGCTCTATGGCCCAGACGACGTCAACCCGGAGCTGGTCAAGTATCGGCGGAGATGACGGTAGGTTGGTCGGAGGACGCGTCGCCAGGCGGTTTGAGGCCATAACGTTCGAAGTACACACGGTAATCAATCGTCGAATAGTGTTGACTCGTTACTGTGGCGATCTTCTCGAGAATATCGTACAAGGTAGCGTTGTTGACAGGCTTGAGCCAGAGTCGTGGTTGGGTCATGTTGTCGAATTTCCGGGCCCCTCCCATGTAAAGACCGTCATGGAGGTTGTAGGCGGCGTAGACGTCCTCAACGGTGCGTTGTAGGCCCCTATACGAGTTTTGACGATAGGTGTGTTGCGTCACGTGGAATCGTAGGACTAGGTACTCAAAGACGTGTACGAACGCCTCAATTTCATCGCTCAGTCGATACGGGCGGGACAAGGGATACTGCAACGACAGGCTCGATCGGAAGTACCAGGGTCCCTAAGAGGGCGGATGTGAGCGCGACACCAGTCGTCGTACGGATGTGCGACACTTACTACCGTCCCAATCCGAGGTGCTGCAGCGTTCTTCATCTGCGTCTTGGTCCTCGAAAGCTCCCAGTCACTCAGGAACGCCGTTCGCGTGATCTGCTGGGTGGCGTCGTCAAGCTCGGACAGGATGACGATGCTGTTCGTGCCGATCTGGCGATGGAGTGTTTCGGCTTTGCCACACCACGCCTGCTCGTGTGCTACAAAGTGAAATATGAGATGAGTCATTCGACAAGCGACGTCATCAACGGCAGAACGCACCGGTCATGGCGTTCAACACGAACCCCGAAAGCTCGCGGAAGTTCTCGAACTCTAAAAGAGGTTCGAACATCTTCTCGAGGACGATGCGGTAGTGGACGTAAGGAACGAGGCGCCCATTCTTCGTGCGCTGGGTTTGACCGTCGACCACGACGTCGCCGCCATAAACGCAGCTGGGGATGTTGGTGACCTTCGCCTCTTTCAGCCTATCGTAGACCTTGTGCTCGTGCTCCATCTCCTCGTGGTCGGGTCGCCAATAGTCCTTGATAGCGTAACCCTTGATCGAGCCGTCCTGCTCGACATGGAAGCCGTGGAACACTCGTGGCGCGGGCCCGTACAGCGCACAGGTCTGGATGATCGGACACCCAACCACATACGTCTCGCTTCCGACCGTCATGCGCTGGAGTGGCCACTGTGTGGAGACCAATTTGTCGGTGTTCTCCGGATCACGACACAGAGCACGGAGAAGCAGAGCCCGTTGCGGATCGGCCGTCTTCATGCCCCGTGCGTGCGCGAGCAGCCGCCGCTCGTCTTCACCGTCGGCCAGAGTCACCGGCGAGTTGCCGACGATCCATGCGCGCGAGACGCCAGAAGAAGCGATGCAGTGTCTGATCTTCGCGTGTGCCGTACACGAACTGTTCCGAGATGTAGCAGCGTTCGCGATCGACGAAGAGGAGTCGAGCCTTGTTGCGGCAGACGTACGCCGCGTACAAATGGGTGCGGTGCTGTCGTCCGAGAATTGCGGAGCAGTACTCGGTGATCTGGGTTAGAGACTGACACCCGTTCTCGCTGTAACATCGTGCCACCCCGCCAGTGTGACTTTGGAACCGGAAGGCTGCGTGGTCGTGGGATGTCTTCGCTTGCATAGGAACGACGATGTCGGCGTACGACGTTGCACCAGCGAATTCGTTCATGGCTTCGGCACGAGTCGGAGTCTGTGAGCTATCGCCGAGTTGATCGCAGGCCTCTGCATCGTCTTCCGACTCGGACTCGTCGGGTGTCTTCGCAGCCGGCAGCTCCTGAGTGCGCTCGGTGTTGAAGTAGATGGAGAGGTCAGGGCGGGTGCGCTGGTGCCCACCGGGGCCGCGGTTGTCGTCTTCCAGGACCCTCGTCGAGGTGTCCAGCAGCAGCATGCGAGGTGTGGCTGAACAGAGAGTCCTCGCCTCGGCCAAGAAGACAGAGCGAGCGATTTTTGCCTGTGTGAGTGCTCGCGCGTCAGCAAAGCAAACACGCGACGTGGGCGAACACTCACGATCTCGACGTTAACACGTCGCTGAGACTTCGCATTGTAGATCAAGCCTTCGCTTGGATAATAGAGGTCCGTGATATCCGTGATGCACATGTCGCGTACGGTGGGGCAAGCAAAGTGAGACACGAGATCGATCGGAACGCATCGGAGCGTCTGAAGACGAGGAGTGTCCACGATCTGGCCTTGAACATCCGAGCTCCATTTGGTGAGTTCCTTGGAGAGGTTCCGTTGGTCGCCCTGCTCGTCGATGTCGTCGTAGTGGGTTCTGGTTCCCGGAACCAGCCACTCTCGGTTCATCCCTGTATATCCGGGAAACGCGATACCGAGGACGTTGAGGTTGTAAACACCGTTGGCAAGAAGTGCGCACAGAGACTTGAGCTGGGCGACGCTTTTGAGGCGGACAAACAAATCGACGAGTCGGGAGGTGTGCGATGAGAGTGTCTGGGATAAGGCGTTGGGGAGAAAATGGATCTTGAGGCGCAGCGGTGCCGGAGACGAGAGTTCTATCGCGGTGGCCGCAAACGAGATGCGGTTCTCCTCCAGGTCTTGGCACTGCGCGTGTATCCTGGCCTTGTTGAATGTGAATTGGGTACCCGGAGCTGCGGCGGCTTCTGCCCACAGTTGCGGGGTCTTGAGGGCTACCGCGCGCCAGAGGCGGCAGACATGCATGAGGCGCACACTGCGCATGTCGTCCCAGCAGTATGAAAGAACTTCAGAGAGGAGTTCCGTTGGCAAAGCTCGGTGGATCGGGGCGATTGAGTTGTGAAGAGATAGCAGAGACAGTGCGATCTCGCGGTACTCCTTTGCCTTGGCGACAACCCATTTGCGAATGGCAGCGTCCGAGAGTCCTGAGAGTGAAGCACGATCGGCAGCAGGGATGGAGCCCGCGAAGGCGGGAAAGGGAAAGGTGTCCACGGTGGCCATGACTGTGGATATTCGTCTCGTCAACTGAGAGGGGTTACACGATGCGAGCAGCTCACCATATAGCGACTGAGTACTGAGTACTGTCCGTGATGTGGCCAGGAGCAACACGCGCGAACCGCGCCGGCGCGATCGCAGGCGCCCAATCCTCGTCGCCCGGCTCTCACAGAGAAGCGCCGTTTACTAGCCGCCCGATAGTACGCCAAAGGCTCAAAGCCAGACGTGAACGGCGCGCATAACACACGACGGTCATACTTACCACGCACCTCGTCCCTCGTAGTTTCTAGGTAGCGCTGCTGCCCCTGCACACCCCCACGCGCGCGCGTCAGCACCACCCTGGCACAAATAAAAACACCCCGCACGCCCACGTACCTCTTTCGTCTACCCGTTCCAGACCTAGTCGATCGTGCCTTAGAATGCACAGGCGGACAACTAGAGGGCGATGATCATCACCGGTTCCCGGGTTTGTCTGCACGGCGGTGTCAGCCTAAGTACGTGTACGCACGCGCATGCCATCGGTGCGCTAGGCCACTCACAGAGAGGCTTCCCAGAACGAAAGGAGGTCGTGAGCAACCGCAGGGATCCGGAGCGCAAACCGAACTTGGGCTCGGAGGCGACCTATGTTGTGGTCTTCCCAGTAGATATTTGCCTGGAAGAGAATGTACATTGGTCAGCGCGCGTTTCCCAGACGCCTTTGACGCGCTCCGCACCGCGATGATTCCGCCCGCCTGCACGAAAATGTTGTACAGCGACGCAGACACCGTCCGCATCCCGACCCCGGACGAGTTTGTCGGCGCCCACGCGACCCGCACCGGGCGCACGTTCGGGAATCCGTTGATGAGCGAGACGATGGCAAAGTACACCCACTGGCTCGTCTGCGCGCTGAAGGTGTAGGGCGCGACAAGCAAGGGAAGGGCCCAGAGCTGGAGCTGGACGGTGAAGGCGACGCGGGAGTTGATGATCTCAGAGAGGTAGCAGGAGGCGGGGAGGAGCGTGCCGAGCGACGCTAGCCCGTACGCGATCATGTGAAGCAATTCATTCTGACACTCGCGTCGCGTCGCGCCCGCCCCGGCAGCTGGGAAGACACGGGTAAGTGCGCGCTCCGCTCCGACGCTTGGCTCGACTCACTGACCTACTCGCACAGCGAAATGCTAGCCGTCAAGGTGCGCTGGGGTGTCAGCGCGCTGACCGCCAGCAGAACGTATATAAGCCTCCCTGGGACGCGGTAAGACTTCAGCACCAGCTTCAGCCGCCCTTCGACTTTCGACTCTCGCTCTCACCTTCCGCCCCTCGCTGATCGCCATGTTCGCCCGCCTCGCCGTCGTCTCTACCATCGCGTTCGCCGCCCTCGCTGCGGCGACCAAGTGCAACACTGGCCCGGTCCAGTGCTGCGAGAGCCTGGAGAGCGTGAGTGCCGTCGTTTGCTGTCCGGGTGCGTAATGTTGAACGATGGGTTTTTCTAGGCAAACTCTGCTGCCGGTTCTGCGATCCTGGCGGCGATCGGTGCAACGCTGCAGAACACAAACGTGGAGCTTGGGCTGAAGTGTTCGCCGATCGACATGGTCGCTGTCGGGTCGGGCAACGCTTGCACGACTAACACGGTGTGCTGCAAGAACAACAACATCGTGAGTGTTCAGTGGTTGATTCTATGGGATTCTGGGCTTACATGATGCTCTGCAGGGTGGCGGCGTTTCCGCTGGCTGCGTCCCGGTCACGCTCTAAGCGTTCAGTGTTGCGTTTTGGTGCTCATGTCGTAGCTGTTATGCCTGGATGTCTTGGTCGATGATCTTACGTCTCCTCTTAATGGATGTTTCCCGTTTCGGTTTTAATCTGCGCGTATCACCTGCGAACGATGAGGCTGGAAACAGACCATATACTACGGGCAAGAACGAAGTGACTCAACGCACTTGGCACTAAGTAGGCTTTAGCAGGAGTGGCACGAATCCGATGCGAATCCCGGACTCACCTGCGTATGTACGCCCTTCACCTCGCCTCCTAACCTGCGGACACTTCGACGCTCAGCCGCCGCGGCGCAATGAAGCATGATCTCGCGCAAAATCTGCACCATGCAGTGAGGTCTCGTCAGCATCCCTTACACTCACCTCCCTCCTTCGCATCTCGCACTCACCGCGCTCTCGCTTTTGTATTCCGTCCCTCGTCGCCCTGGCTATGTTCCCCCACGTGCTCGCCTTTTCCGCCTTCGTCTTCACCGGCCTCGTCGCAGCCATGGGCTCCGGAAGCTACAACACCGGCCTGGTCCAACGCTGCAACAGCGTTCAAACTTCAGAGACTGAGTCCCACCCGTGATATTTACCTCGGGATGCTCACCAGGCGAGCGAAGCGTCGTCCGCCGCCATCCTGCTATCGTCCTCCACGACGCCACCACCCAGATCGGCCTCGGATCCTCGCCCATCTTCGTCGTAGGCCAGGCCCCGGCTGTGCGCTGTGAGAACATGAGTCTCGTTGTTTCGGACGTTCGGTCGTGCTTGGTTGCGAACGCAGGATTGTCTCGTTCCCATCGGATGCTTGCCCATCTCGTCCTAGATGGAGACCCCCGTCAGCGTGCGAGGACGCTCGTTGGTCGCTACTTATGTATACCACCCCACTAATAAGTTGACGGCGTAATCTCTGTCGATCCTTGCGGGCGTGGTAGGGCGTGATTGGCACAGGTGGGGGAGTGCATGCTCAGGAGAACATCTTGTTCAGACGCAGATGAGCACCGCGCACGGAGCGCGGCTGCGATTGGAGACACGGCGATGGGTCTCGGCACTTGCGATGCAGAAATGTATTTCCCAAGGACATCTAGGGCCCCGTTTTGAAAGAAAGTGAGGGTGCGGGGTGGAGGAGTGCGACGTGCGGAGGCACGCCCCATCTACACACGACCCGAATGACACGCTCCTTGCGTGGATGTGCCACACACCGACGAAGTTGATCCTGACGTGCAACGATTGTTTCGAACGCGGTACGAGATGTACAAAGTGCGAAAATATTGGGAAGCGAGAGAACGCAAGAGGACGGCGAAGGGGAAACGTATGCGCACCTGTGAACTTCTCCTTCTCCTTCTCCTTCTCCTCCTTTCCTGACGGCGAACAGAGAGCGGAGCGCTAACCGGCCGATGTTCAACGTGTGTTTGATGATACTTATGTCTTGATAAGGGCTGGATGGGAGGAAAGAGGCGGCGAAGGAGTGCAGGCGAAGAGCAGAACGAGCGAGGTAGATGTAATCGTGGTCGAGGAGAGAAAGAGGAGAGAGACAGCCACGATTTGGCGCCTGCTACTGTTTCATCGCAACTACCATCTGCGCGCGGTGGAAACCCGAACTGCTTTTCATGACTGTCGCCGTCCCCTTCCTCTCATGCTCCATCCCTGCTGCAGATCATGCTACATTAGCCGGTCTGTCTGACGACGCTGTGCGCGCATGGGTGGTCCCCCGAGCCCAAGAGTACCGCGACATCGCCCTCGCCCTCCTCTCCATCTACAATGCCGTCGCGCCCATCCACCGCGCCTTCCCCACAGAAGTTCTCTCCGAGATCTTTTCACACTGTTGGAAAGACCCTCAAAGCATTGCCATCGCCCACGTCTGCCGCCACTGGCGTTCAATCGCCCTCAAGACTCCCCGCCTGTGGGCCGCTGCCCTCGCCGCACCTGGAAAGCTGCTCTCCCAATACTTGGGATGTAGATCCAGCCGCCGCGGGTTCGCAACGTTTGCCCTCGAACGATCTTCTCCTCAGCCTCTTCGTCTCAAAGTTTACCACTTCCTCGATCGCTTCGCCACCACGCTCGCTCCACATGCCGCCCGCCTCGTTGATCTTTACGTCCGCCTGGACGGTGCATCCTCTCTCTCCACTCTGTGCAAGTTCCTCAACTCGGGGGCGCCCAATCTCGAAGTGCTCGGCGTTACATTTCCGGGCTACGTGGGGATGTACGAAGATTGGCTGCCGCTCCGCGAGGACGCACACGACGACGACTTTGGCCACACTATCGCCGACCGATCCGAAATCCAAGGGCAGCTCGAGTGGGATCTGCAGAGGTGGAGCGAAAAGACACAAGCCCCGGTGCTTGACACCGCAGCCCTCCCTCGCCTCCACACCATCCGGTGCATCCCCATCGACATTTTCCCGTACTTCGCCACTCCTACACTACGCGACGTGTGCGTCACCCCCGCGCAGTTCACTAGTGACCACCTGGCCGACTTTGCCAAAGCGCTGACTCAATGTCCCGCGCTTGAACGCCTCAAGTTTTGGATTGTCGGTGGGGACTTCGAGAAGCTGTACGATTATGATGCCGACGGTGAAGAGGTCGATAGAGGTCCGATTCAGTGCTGTCTTCCCAATCCTGAATCGTCTTTATGGGACAACGTCGATCCAGCGACCATGCCCGCCTTGCAAAACGTTGTTGTCAACACCGGTATCTATCCCTCGTCGCGCCTTTACCTCCGGTGCCTCTCCTGCCCCCTTCCCATCACCGTCGAAGTCATCGCGAAAAGCATGACACTGCAAGATTTCGTCGGCAGCGATGAGAAGCTTAAGGAACGCATCCAGAACGCGGACGTGGCACGCATCTGGGATTCCGGCTCCAGCGGATGGAAGACCACTGAGGTCACTACCTTCAAGGACGACGTCGCGCTCGCTCGATTCGCGCTTTCAACATCGAAGTGGCAGGGGCCGCCCACACCGGACTGCGCCCCCGTATTCCGCATGCACGGCGCGAACATCACGCGCCTGGTCGTCCATCAGAACGAAGACGAGCTGTTCTATAACATTCGCGAAGTCCTCCACGCTCTCCTCAATCTCACGTCGCTTGACCTCGCCGGCCAATGCGTGTCGACTGCCCTGTGGGCGCTACCTCGACGGGAACCCGAGTACGGGAGGCCCCAGGACAGCGACGGTCCTAACTGTCTGCATCTGCGCACCCTCGCCGTTGCATTCCCTCGAGTGCGCGGCTCGGTTCAGAAGCTGATCAAAGCCAACCCAGCGGAGTGGGAGGAGACGATCGCGACGGGCGTCCGAGACGACTTGGCAGAACTCGTGAAGATGCTGAAGAGCCGAGCGTCGGGCGGTCTTCGCCTGGAACGGCTGGAGTGGCGAGTGGCGGAGTGGGACAAGAAGCTCCGGCTTGAGTTCCCCCCGACCGCGGTCGTCAGCACGTATGTGCCACCGCCGACGGCGCTGTGCGACCAAACGGAGCTCGAGACGTTGGTTGACGGGCCGGTCGTGTTCGGCGGGGTCACTTACCGGGCCCGTCTCCCTCGCTTACGTAAATGAACGACAAGAGCTGGATTGAATCGCATATGCTGTTATTAAATCTTATGCAGTGAGCCTGATGTCGATGTCGAGCGGGTCGTCGCGGCGCCGTGGGACACCCGGATGACCTCGCGCTCTGCGGCGATGTAGGGACAAAAGGTGTATTCACCGTGAGGTTGGCGCGGGCGATGGTGCTCACGTCGACAGGGACGACGGGGTCCGTTGAACTGGGGTAGGATATCTGCTGGTACCTGTCTCGGACCTTTCAACTTCGCACGGCAGTCAGGCTTTCCTGACTTTTCAGCCAGTGTCGATTGTATAACCCATGTCGCGCGGCTGTGAGTCCCCCATGCAAGTTCGCAATGGGATGCCGTAGTCACCGCTGCCTAATAACATCCGTATCGATGTTGCCACTGGCTCCGCGCGACCGGCACCTCGATCAAAGGCACGTCGAGCACACAGGCTGCACGACCGAGTTCAACGGAAATCCTCTCAGCCGTGACAGTCATGTCTTCGCCGAAACCCCACTTCGATCTCTTGGAGATCGGCCCGCATCCTGGTCCATGGCGATGTGAGTACGTTTTGGATGGTATCCCGATGCTTTGAAGATCACTAACGACCCTACAGATCATTCACAGTTGCACCGGACACTGTCCCCAAGCCACGACGACTTTGCTAGGGAAACCTCCAGGATCATCTGAGGATCCTTGTCTCCCATCTTCGCCGAAGGATACGACACACCCGCCGAGTTCCACACGAAAGATTTCTTAGAGGGCTTGAACTCAAACGCCGCGACAAGCGTTGCCAGGACCATCTCTATGGAAAATAGGATACAGAATGACGACGTTAAGAGGGCCGCAGCGTCGAGAGCGAGGAACACGTACTCATCTCGAGCTGCGAGAATTTGAACCCTCTGTAAACGCGTGCCTTAGTAGACGTTTTCCCTCACGGCCTACCAACTGTCACTCACATGCACGACATCCCGCCTCCGATGAAAGTCATCCTAGAAGCGAGGTCAGAACGTTCTGCACTCATTGACATAAGTCGTGGAATCAAGTGCTCACTGGTGCGCGTAGATTCCGGGGATGTGCGCCTCTTCGACCGCGGCGGGCAGCGGGCCCAGCCACCGCTCAGGCTTCCACTGGTGCGCGTCCGCACCCCAGAGCTCTTTGCTCGTGTTGACCCCGCTAATGTCCGCAATGAAGAACGTCCCTTTCGGGACGATGATCTCGGAGATCTGGGCCCCGTCTTTCCCGGTAATCGGGCGCTGCAGAGGCAGCGTCGTATCCTGCTCTGCCCTGCTCAAATACAAATCGTCAGCAGATGTTGTGCTCCATCATGAACCGACTGGGTTACGCACTCGCGCATGGAGCTCCCAACCGGCGATAATCTGGAAGAGCGGGTCAGCGCTCGCGCGCGAATAGGAAGCGCAAAAATACGCACAGACGGAGCGTCTCGCGACAAACGGCGTCCAGATACGGCAGCGCCGACAGGTCGTCGTACGGTATCTCCTTGCCGTATGCCTCGCGCGCCTCCAGCACCTCCTCGCGCAGCCGTTTCTGCGCATCCGGATGTTTGGATAGCACGTCCAGAACGCGCGCGAGCGAGTTCGACGTCGTGTCCACGCCCGCAATGATGAACGTGCTTCACGCGTGAACACGGCCCGCGGTCAGCAGCGCGCTCCAGAAGCAACACACAGAGGAGCATGAGGCGTACATCACCTGCGCGACGATCTGGTCGTCCGGAAGCCGGTCCTCTTCCTTCGCGAGCATGTTCTCGCGCACTGTGCAGAGCCCGTCAGCGTTCGGCCGCCGCTCGCGCGCGCGCGCTGCACTCACACAGAATGCTCATCACGTCCTGCCCCTCCCCGACCTGGTGCGCGAGCTCCGCGTCCTCCCCCTTGACGAGGCGCGCGCGCTTCTCCTCGAACAGCGCACGCGAGCGGCCGTACAGGAAGTCCGAGAGCCACTTCATCCGCCGCGTGTGCGGGTCTGGCCAGAGCCGCGCGAACGCGCTTCCGAGCCGCGCGGGCATAACGTGCCTCACGAGCGAGAGGATCGCCAACGCGTACGTGATGTGCGCGAGCGTCGGTCTGCGGGGAAGGGCGGGTGAGCGAGGGAGGTGTGACGCGTGACGCGCGATTGGGGACGCACGAGAAGGACTTGACAGCCTCGGTGAACTCGTCCTTCGTGTCCGCGACGAGCGGGTCGAAGCTGTGGCCGAGGATCCCTTGTCCGACGAGCTCGAGCGCCGCGCGGCCCATCCAGGCGACCATGTCGACTTCACCGGATCCTCCCTGCGCGCGCAGGCGCGTGCCGATCGCATCTTCGAGCTGTTCATAACGGCGCGGTCAGCTTCGAGGTAGGGGCGCGAGAAGTGACAACGCACTTTTCCGATGATGTCGTAGAACAGCGGCGTGACGCTGCGCATGTACGCCGCGGAGAATACGGGCGTCAGCATCTTCCGCTGGCGCCGGTGCATGTCCCCATGTGTTGTCAGAAGGCCCGGGCCCATAATGGCTTGACCCGCTCTGTAAGATATTGAAGCACGACGGCAGTATCACTAGAGGAAACACTGACACGTTGTTGAGCTTTCCGCGAGACCACACTTCGGCATCCTTGATGTACACGGAGTGAAGAGCCTTGAGGTCGCGCGTGAATATCACTTTGCCCTAATGCCCATGTTAGCACACCAGGAAACCAGGAAATGGAACCCGCGAGGCTCACCAACAAGGGGCTATTGAATAGCGCCACTGGGCCGTACCTTTCCTGCACATGGCGGACAAAGTCCAAGTTGTCGAGGGAAAAGAACGATCCTAAGCTCCCTGGCCAGTGATGAGTTAGCATTCCAAGCACGTGCGCCTCGCGAGTCCGGACAACACGTACCTAGAACCCACGAAGTAGACGGCGGGCCGTCAATGTTGCTCAACGGTGACCGGGAGCGGAGAAAGCGGAGTGCGACGAAGGTGGCGAGCGCGGCGACGCCGACCGTGAGTAGGGCTGGACTTGAACGCTCCATGCTTGGGGGATGCGGTTGCGTCTTTCGAAACGATAATGCTGCGTGCTATATACCTACCGCCGTTCTTGCCAATATCGAGAGCCTGGCATGTTATGGCATCGCACACGCAATACAGAATTGGTCGGCCTTGCGACAAGCCAATCGCCGATACATCGGGGAACCTGGATTTTGTCGGGTCAACCGGCCTCGCGAGGTGCACAGCCACAGAGTGCGCCTCACCTCATTGGGTGTCGGCCGAGGAGTCGGGCTCTTGGAGGAATACGCAGCTGGAGAAGGACGGCAGAGGCCACGCAAGCTATGTAGCCGAATGAGTCACTTGAGTGAAGAGGCGAGTTGATCACAAACTCACCAACACTTGAGCCCCACCGGTGAGACGCGAGTCAAGAGCATCTCCGGCCTGAGTTCCAAAAGAACTGGTAGAACTTCTTGAATTTCGCTAGATCACCATAGCTGAGAGAAGGTTTCGTGAGTGAATCGTCGGTCGATTCGAATAAAAAACGTACTAATCTCGAGCTGTGAAAGATTGAAGCCACCTACAATAGCATATCAGTACCAATGTCATTCCGGAGCGGAAATATCGAAGAACCACATGCTACGTCGACGGATATTGGGTGATGAGACCAGCACGAAATAAATGGGGCGATTTGGACAGAGACCGTGCTCATAAATCCGTATCGTACTCATTACTCGGAATTCGTCACCAAAGAAACCCTCAAGAACATCTCCGGGTTCCTGTCCCCCGGCTTCGCAGACGGGTACGCGACCCCTGCGGAATTCCAGAAAAACGGCTTATCGGACTTCCCAAACTTGAAGGTCGCAACTAGAGACGAGATCACGATCTCTGAGAGATTGCGTGGTGAGTGAAATACCAGGAGCAGAGCTGGGTACAACGTACTCATCTCGAGCTGGGAGAACTTGAAGCCACTGCACGGAGCTCTCAGCATCCTGTGTTTTCTCTTGTCAAATTAATGAAGACTCACATGCATGCATAGCCTCCGCCCGAGAACGTGAACCTGCGGGGGAAGTGGCGGTCAGACGATGACGTCATCGTATACTGAACGCCAGACACGGCAACGTACTGGTTTGCGTAGATCCCCGGCAGATGTGTCTCCTCCACAGCGGCAGGAAGAGGCTCCAGCCAGCGCTCAGGCTTCCACTCATACGCGTCGTCTCCCCAGATAGCTTTGTTGGTATTGCAACCATGTATGGAAGTGATGATCATCGTCCCCTTTGGGACCGCGAGTTGAGAGATCTCCGTGTCGTCCTTCCCGCGAACGGGGGAGGAAAGCGGAAGAACGAAATCGGTTGCAGCGCTGAAACATCCTGTCAGACGCTTGGGCTCGACGGAGAGGAGGAGAGAGGTGACGCACTCGCGCATCATGAACGATGCAGGTGAGTATCTAAGCCGTTGCAAAAGTGATTAGTGAAAGGAGCAACAATGACATGGGAATCACTCACACGCGAAGCGTCTCGCGACAGACGGCGTCGAGGTACGGCAGTGCCATCACTTCGTCGAACGGGATCTCTGTGCCAAAGCGATCGCGCGCCTCGAGGATCTCGTCCCGAAGGCGTTCTTGAACCTTCGGGTGGGCCGTCAGTAGATCGAGGATACGGCCCATCGCGTTGGACGTGGTGTCGACCCCAGCAACGATGAATGTACTTGAGCAATGAGTTAGCGCTTTGTACAGAAATTAACGTGGTCTGAGCCACGTACGACATTTGAGCTAGCAACTCCATATCAGGAAGCTTGTCTTCTTCAGTAGCCTCCATGTTCTCGCGAACTATGTCATTCAGTATGTCGAAATCGCGATGACGTCGAAACACTCACGGAGGATGCTCATCACGTCTTTGCCCTCTCCTACCCCATGCAGAGCCGCGTCATCTCCCGTTTTGACCGCAGCCTTCTTCTCCTCGTACAACGCGCGGCTTCGGTTGTCGACCAAGTCGATGATGCGCTTCATACGATGCACCGCCGGGTCCGGCCAGAAGCTGAAGAACATATCTTTCATCCACGGCGTGACGTAGTCGTTGACGTACGGGAGGATGGCGAAACCGTATGTGACGTCCGACGTCGATGGGCTGTCCGGATAAGCAACAGTGAGCACCGAGTGCGGCACCGTTTCATGAGTTGACTCAACTCACATGAACGACTTGACTGCCTCAGCGAACTCGTCCTTCGTGTCGGCGGTCAGAGGGTCGAAGCTGTACCCGAGCGCCCCTTGTCCAACGATCTCGAGCGCGGCGCGACCCATCCAGCCGATCATGTCGAGGTCGCGCGGGCCGTCTTGCGTGCGCGACGCAAGAGCGTGTTCCAGCTGTCCATGTCAGGAATGACCTTGGTGAGGCAACACATGTCGATGCATCGCGGAGACTTACGCGTCCGACGATTTCGTAGAAGACGGGCGTTAACCCGCGAAGGTAAGCGATAGAAAAGACGGGGTTTAGAAGCTTGCGCTGCTTCCTATGGGCACCGCCCAGAGTAGACAGGAGGCCGGGCCCCAGAAGGACTTTGCTGCTTCTACGGGGGACCGTTAGCAACCGGATCGCGCGCGGTCACGCAAACGCTTACTCGATAGCCATCGGAGGGCGAGGGAAGTTGTCGGCGTTCTTGATATATATCGAGTGGACGGCCTTTGGGTCGTGGATGTGCAGTGCTTTCATCTGCAGACAGAGTCAGAGGCTGGGTAACGATGAAGATGTCAAGGAACTTGCTCCGAAGAATCCATTTAAAGATGCGACTGGGCCGTACGTGTCCAACAAGTGGCGGACGAAGTCCCAGTTGTCGTACCCAAACAGAACATCCATGTTGCCTGTAAAGTGTGAGCGCGACCACAGCATACAGACGCATGATCCAACCGTACCCCATAGAAGTGACTTGGACGGAGGACCGGGGAGGTTGTGTAGGGGCGATTTGATGGAGAGTGCGCGCAAAACGCGCAAAACGAGATAGGCCACAGGAAGAACGAGGACGAGAGAGAGGCTTGCCATGGGGGGCGGGAATGAGAGCGCGAGCAAAGCGGTCCAGCAAGAGGGTTATATATATAGCCCCGGGTCCCGAGAAGGAGAAGAAGGTTTCGCTTATTGCACTCATCCTGTCCAAACAAGCGCCGCGACGGGCCGGAGAACCCAGAGCGTGTGTCCCGACCCATACAGAATGCATCTTGTTGTTCCGGGCTGTAGAAACCATGGTTAAATGGCCTATGGCACTGAACGCGATGGGAAAGAACTTCAGACCGTGTTGCGAAACGTTTGAGAGAGACACAATTATCCAATTCAAGTGAATCGCGTCTTCCTTTCTCCATGCTCTCATATTCTGATTGCGCGCTCTAGTGGTCTGACGCTTCATAAGCACGCCTGAGGACCACAAAATCAGAGGGAAACAGGATGGCCGGATTGAAACCAGACGTACCGCAGCCCGCGATCCCGCCGAGGCTAAAAGATGGGGACGTCGATGAGTATCGTCTATGCGGGACAAGTGCCATACACATTGAGCGGCCAGGACGCGAAGAACAACATGTAGCGCCTTTCTCGAGGGCGAACAGCTCGCCGATGGGCATGGACATTCTCCACAGACTAAATAAGCCGAGACATTTGAAAATTTGACAGGTCAGCGTCATCCTCAAGCGATGTATATTAGATGTTATGCACGCGATCAGGGTCGAGCGCATAATGCCCTCGTAGCCTTTCGGCGGAAGCCAGTGCTGAACACAGAAACGAACGGGCGTTTGAGTACATTGATAGCATCCCTCGACAGAGAATACGCTTACCCCCGTCGTCGGCGTACTGGACGCCATGACCGCGAAGTGCGTGTCCCAAAGGAACCGTTTCGCGTCCTCGCTGTGGTCGATTCCCGCGCTACAACGTCTCGTCAACACTGGATCTGCGTCGTGAAAAAGACAGCGGATTCAAGCCACGCACAAGGTCTCGAGAGCCGTCGCCCACTCGTGGCGCTGCACCTGCGTTGCGCTTTGGTACGGACCTATGAACCCTGCGCGGATGACGAGAATGTCCGCCTGCTGGAACGTCACGCCCTCGGCCTCGGCGGATGTGAGCAGGTCCGTGAGCAAGATCGCGTGCGCGGCCATCCGGTCGTACGGGGGCGTGCCGAGCCTGTCGGTGTAGAAATTGACCACGTCGAGCAGAACGCCGCTGCCGCAGATGCCGTGCTGCGCCCAGTCTGCGAGGAGTGCGAGTAAGCAGCTGTCGCGGGGAGAGGGGAGGAGAGAAGACGAACTGTGGATGCCGTATTTGATGGACTCCGAGTGGATGTTAGACTAGTCGGGTGGATTATCACGCCGTCCTTGAAGGCGCGGTTGGAGGCGCCTTGGTAGGTGGAGAGCATGCCTGCGTGCTGGAGACCGTCCCATTGGGATCCGGTTGTTGTTCTGGCTTAAGTCGAGTCGCCCACTTCATCCACAAAAGCGAGGTCGAGGTGATCTCCTTGATCTCCTTGGCAGATTCTTTGACGACGTATTGAATTTGGGGAGCTCGTAGGAAACCTGCTCGGGAATGAGACCAATGTGCTCAAGGAAGATTATACGCGATAACGAAGAGAGCGATCGAAGGATGGGTTCTGAGTAACCCTACTATCGAACGCAGTCAGTTAAATACCTTCTCGACTTGGTGGAGAGAACCTGCTTACGGATATTGGTGCGCCGTCTCCGCAGAGACAACTTGATGCCGCATGGTCACCCTCGGAGCCACACCCGCGGATAATCACGACCGACGTGACTCACCACATAGCCTGAGGTTAGCAACAAGATTCAGAGGGGTCAAGGCGCATTCAAAGTTGAAATCATATGATGACGCACCTGCACAAATCAACATGCGTGACGCGAGGGCGGAGCCCTATGGTTAGCGGAAAATGCATGACGTTTAATTCCAAAGCACGCTTGGTAATTCCTGTATTCCTGCTTGAGTATTTGGGAGGCCGAGTTAGTATAAAAATGACGCACCGTGAATGACTTTCCGAGGATTCCCTTCGATTTTACCAATCGTCCGTCGTGATCGCCCTCCAACTGTACGTTATGGTATCAGCATTTTCCACTCCCGCGCATAAAACAAGGTTACCGGAACGGTTTTGTAGTAAATGCACCCACCCAGCACGGACTCCGCCCAGGAGGCCATGGGAGGAGGCAGGAGAGGCGCCATTTAGGCGCCAGGGACGAACACCAGCCGGCCGGGTGGCGCTCCGATCGGAGTTGCGGTGGGTCATCCGCCCTGTTGAATTTGATCGCACTGAACCCTCCCTCTCAACGCCGTTGCGGGATTGGTGCCATCTCCTCAACATGTTCTCTGTGCCTTTCACGTCACAAATATACTCTGCGTGGATGTAAGTTATACCTGTTCTGGGTCCTCGTCGCTCTCGGAGTGTACGCTGGCCATCTGACAACGCTCCCCGAGAGCAGAACCTGCTAAATCCGGGGCCCGATGGTAGCCCCTCAAGGCCTCAAGGAAGTGCTCAATGCCTCTCTATCTACTCCACAAGCGCTCGGGTTGGAAATAAACCCGCTTTCTGTGACGTATTCGTATCCCCAAGGAGTGGACCACTCGACCCAGTCATTCCCGATCGGATTGCGCCGGTGTGAGTGAGAAGATGTGATTCGCAAAGACCGAACGGGGAATGCGCGCTTCACTCGCATATTTAGTCTGGCGAGCCCGACTAACGTTTCCCTATCTCCCGCACTATTGTGCCAAATGTCCGGTGCCACATCTGACGACATGGGTTGCTGCCGCGTTTGGTTCAGTGCGTATCTTCCCAGCTGCTTCCGCGGTCTCGTCACGCTCATCTCGCACTTTTTTTCAGTCACCGGTTGCTCTCAAGGCCTCGGCCGTGCGCTTCTCGAGGAGGTGCTCGCATCTGGCGAGCGCGTCGTCGCCACTGCACGGAATCCTCAGTCCCTACACTCGTTGGCGATGCGCTATCCGAAGCTACAACTCTTGGTGCTGGCATTAGACGTCACGGACCGGACACAGATCTCCGATGCCTTCAGGTCTGCAAAAGCGCACTTCGGCCAGGTGGACGTGGTGGTCAACAACGCCGGGTACGGGATCCAGAGCGAGATCGAGGCGACACCGGAATCCGAGGCGCGTCGCATGATGGAGACTCTCTATTGGGGCGCGGTGCACGTCACTCAGGAGGTATGTGCCAGCTCCTCGATGCTGTAACGTCGCTCATCGCTCGGCCTTGTATCAGGCTGTCTCGATAATGCGCGACGTGAACCATCCACACCAAGGCGGCCTTATCCTGAACATCAGCTCTATAGGCGGGTACATCGGGAACGCGACTCGCGGATTCTACAACTCGGCGAAGTTCGGTACGCTCCCACACACGCATCTCCTCTCTGAGTGTGCTCATCATCGCGTCCCTGCAGCGCTCGAGGGCTTTACGGAAGCGTTCAACAAGGAGATGCTCCCCGAGTGGAACATCCGCGCCGTCATCATCCAGCCCGGCGGCTTCAACACCGAGTGGGGCGGCTCCTCGATGGTGCACGCCCCATCCCCGAGGCGTACAACAAGCCGCACGCGCTCTCGGTCCAGTTCCGGCAGATGACGAAGGGCAAGAGCGTGTTCAACGGGGACCCGTGCAAGGCCGCGCAGGCGATCATGCAGGTCGCGGACATGCGCGAAGCGCCGCTGCGCGTCCAGCTCGGCACGGACGCGCTGATGCTCGTGCGGAGCAAGGCGCTGCAGACGTTGGAGGACACGTACAGGCACGAGGCGTTGGCGCATTCTACGAATGCGGATGGGGTGGACAGAGAGGCGGTCATGGCGAAGCTGGGCGCGGTGAGGGCGTGAGCGGCGTGTGGGTGTATTTGGCGCGATTGGACTGCTGTGATGAGCGTGCACTTGTACTTATCGGCTTTTCTTTTTTTGTTATCGTCATTTGTGGGTCTATCCAGGGAACGCCGGGCCGCGGGATGGCCGGGCCGTGGAAACGGATCTCGGCCACGTGGCATATGCATTTGCGCGCCACACAAGTCGTTGATTTTGTCTTGATCCTAGTATCCCCCTCGAACCACACCGTGAAGTGCGGCTCGGACACCGAGGAATTTGACTATCATTGGCGAAACAGTGCTTTATAGCGACATTCTGGATGTACAACGAAGGCTCAACGTCACAGTGACTCATGAGGGTGCGCCAGTGTTTTGGTACTTGCATGGGTCTACTGATCGTCAGTTTCTGAAGCCTATCGCAACGGTCCACATGCTACGGGGCTCGCAGTGCCGTCTACGCAACCCGTAGTGAGAGTTCCAGCGCTGAAATTGGGCCCCGTGTCATGGACCGAGGCAGTGCAAGATTCCCCGTTAGCGTCCAACTTGGACAGATATTAGTCTGCCAGAATACGCCCAGTCGAGTGCGGTGTCTTCCTCGCCTCACCTACACCTCTTCTGACTGACCGCAGAAATGGAATCCCAGATGATTCTGGTGAACGAGACCTCCGATCTTCCCGGCCGCTTCGCCGCCACGGTGTTTGTCTTCGACAGGGACAGCCTCACGAACGCAGATTTTCGCGTCCGCGGCGACCACGCGGCCCAATACACTATTTAGACCACGTGCATCTCCGTGGGGTAGACCAGCACCCATTGGTGTCCGACAGGGGCGAAGGTGCTCCCAGACACAATCAGCTTCGACGGCGGCGTGTCCGTGCGAGTGGGAGTGATCAAGCGGAGGTCTTCTCACGACGGGCAACGGCCGCTTCGGAGCTCGACGCGTAGAAGCCTGTCAGGTGTCTTTTCTGCCGCTTTGTGCGCGTGTGAAAAGGCACTAAATGGGCAATTTTCCGGATGCTTTACGGGGTGCCGAAACGATCGATAAGAGACCTTTGGTACCCATTCATAACGCGCGTTACTTATCATTCGTACTCACTTGTTTGTTACTACTATACACGTTCTATTGCCTTTACAATGAATTCTATTGTCTTTGTTCTGAGCACAGTATTCTGTCGTGCCAAACATTCGCCAAAACGTCACCTTTCAGGATACTCTACGACACACACAAACTTGACATAAAAGTCGCCTTTCCCACCCTTTTCTCCCCTGGAAAATACCTGCCGGAAATGACACCTTGACAGGCTTTTTCTACGCCTTTCGGGCTCCGAAGCTGAGCCGTTGCCGTCGTGTCTGCGCACCGTGAGTGCCGCTAGTTGCTATCCTCCTCCACCATCTGTCCGCCGCACGCCTTCCCCGCAGCTGATGTTTCCTCAGGACAGCCGACGGCGGCGCAGAGGGGCACGTGGCAGCGGATGGGCCTCTTGGGTGGACGGTGGGACGACTGCATTGCCTCCGCTCGTCCCAGGCTCCTGTCACTCGGGCGGTTGTTCGATGCCCGAGCGGCTTCCACGCTCTGTCGGCCTTCTTGATCTGCGCGGCGCTTGTGCAACGAACCCGTCCCGCCTGTTGCGTGGTTCCGCACGGTGTACAAGCGGGTGGCCGATGGCGTCGAATTTCACAGAGTATCGTCGCTCTCGCTAGCGCTAGCTAGAGGCGGAGGCGGTGCCTCAGGAGGTCATAGGTTCGCTCCTCATCGTAGAGAAAAAGTAAGTATCGCACGCAATGCCGAAACCGCGGGTACTTGGTTCGCATTTGGAAGCGCGTAAGGGTCTGACATGTACAGCTTGAGGTTGGAGAGCTTTTGTTCACCACAGCCTTCACAGTTGTGGTGCTGCCGCAGCAGCGAAACCCTATCCGCTTCGTGTATAGAAGCATTCTTCAATGTCTTCTACCATTTCACGACATACTTCAGAGCGTTGATGAACTATGTTCACAGATGTGACGCTGTTCAGGAGCTCACGAATCCCACACAAAACAGACAGAAGCTCAGTCTCCGGATTCTATGCTGCGGATTGTGACCAAAAAGTAGGTCATCCCCAATCTCCTCAGCGTCTATTTCTGCCCGACATATTCTTGTCTACATCTCGACACTGGTCAGGGACGTCCTTCTTACAGATAGCTTTCACGAACAAGTGGTCAGGGCCCCACTGCCCCGACCTGCCCGATGGAGGTGGATTTCTCACAACGTCAAGCCTCCACACACTCACATTACGCTCTACCGGATCACGGTCGCACGATGTGAGTTCCTTCCCCTCTCCCTTCCGATAAGATAGGATCTCGCATACTCAGCAGGACTGTCTTGCTCACAAGGAGTTCATCTAGCGTTGAACCGCGATCGGCGCTCAGTACGTGGTTCAGCAATAAATCTACGCACGATGATGTCGCGCCCCGGCAATCAAATTTGGACAATGTCGCTAGCCTCAGTCCCTCCTTGGAGCGTGTACTAGCGTTCCAACTTCCCAGAGAACAAGCATCGCGAGTAATTATGCCATTTATTTCGGGCGATATTTGCCGTGACGTCTACAACGAATCTGTGCTAACAGCCCAAAACGGACACGAGCGGTTGTGTCAATAATCCAGTCTGAAAGATGACAAGATCATCCTTGACCGAATAGCAGGTGAAACCGTCCTTGTGCTAGTGGGATGAGGATACGAAACATGTCTCTATCAAGCTGCGCATCCATACGTCAAGATGTAACAACTCCTTCGTGAACCCGTTCGGTTTCTTCCAGAAAGATGCACAAGGTGGCGTATGTCCGAGTCCGCTCTCGCACAAAACTCGCACGCACGCCGGCCGCAGTGGTGCGAAGCATCCGCTCAGCACCCGAAGGCCGACTCTGCCACTCGTCTACGGTCGAGAAACCCCGGGCCACCCCTCTGCAGGCCTAATCAACTTTAGATGGCCCGCAGGCTGCAGTCCGACTATCCCTCAAGTGAGCCGGCAGCGGCGTCCGTGGGGACGCCGTAAGATCGTTCGCCGACCCCGCGTGCTCCGTTCCGAGGCCTCGCCGACCAGAAGACGGGGACCGTGCCTGGGACCCCGCGCCGCCGCCGCCGCTCGCGCGTCCTCGGTCCCACGACCGCCTGCGGGCTGATTTTGAGTGGAGAGCGCGGCACGCGGCGGTGCATTGCCAATGCCCCTCGCGCACCCCGCGGGCAGTGCCGCGCTGACTCGGGTGCACTCGCGCGCGGCGTCCGCGCGGGCCATTTCCTCCCCCCCCTTCCCCTTCGATGTTCAAACTTTCATGATCTCGACGGGCGATGGAAGCGGACGGTGCGTTTGATCATGAGGACATGAGAGTCGCGATGCGCCGACGCGATCCCGCGATCCCGCGTGGGATTCAAATATTCAACGCACGCACGCGCGCCACTGGTGCACGACACGTCGCGTGAGTCCGGACGGCCGCGGAAGCCCGTCGCGGATGACTCGCTCCCGCCCAGAACGCCTTCGCGCTGCGCTGCCATGCGTTCTTGACAATGCGCGCGCGACGTTTGGCGTGTATCGCTGACCGTGGCTCCAAGCTTCACTGCGCGCGCCCAGGGTATCACTCGTTCTGCTGCGGATCATCGACGCTCAGCCATAGAATCCCACTGACGTCGTCATGTGTGAGTTTCGCCTACGAGTACAGCCCAGAATGCTCGGCTTTTTCGCGCTGAGACGCCGGACAGAGGATAGAAGCAGGATTTAATGAAGATGCTTGGATGCACAGGTTGACGAAGCTGTACTCCGAAGTTCGTGGGGCGAAAGCGCTGCGCCCGAGATCACCTTCAGAGGGGAAAGGGAAGACTCAGGAGGGGCGGCTTCGGGGAATCCTTGAATCCCAGGAAGAGATCCTGCTGCGAAGAACGACTCCGCTCTGTATGTCTAGGGGTGTTGTCGGTGTTCCCGGGCGAAGTGTGCGCAGCCAGTGTATGTGGCTCAGCGAAGAGTCCAGTCCACACTTTTCGCCGAATGCGGGGTGCTGATGCGCACGTCAATTATCGACCACCTATTCCAGATCGATCTCCAAGACTCCGAGATATGAGCTGCTCTGCGGATCAAAACGGGTTGAGTGCTGGAGAGTCTCGGATTACTCAAATGGTGACTTGACTCGGCTGTTGGCGCAGCAAGTTTCACTTTCACTCTCGTGGTGCTCATCCAGTGACCGATGCATAATGTGACTAAGTTAGGGTACAATCCTTGGGATAGCACGGTATCTAGAGGGAATAGTCGGTCAAGGCGTGACAAAACGTGACGTGAGGGAAGTCCAAGCTTCATGTCGAGGCGATTTCATCCGCGCTTCTCACAGGCGGGACACACCCCTCCCATCTGGGGAGCTGTACAAAGTTCGCAACGTGTCAGCGTGAACGTACCGAAACCTGGAAACGGCACTCTCACAGTACTGTTGAGGGTGCTGACGGCTGTGCGTGAGGAGGGAAGAGCGTGAGTGCGATGGTTACGGGGCCAAGGAACGGAACAAGCATACAACTGCTTGCACGTTTGCTTGCATGCCGTCCCGCTACAGCCCTTGGAGTGCGACGGACTGAAGCGGCACCGGGGACTTTCGCACGAAACCTAAATGCGTGATGTCCACAATCGTGCTGACAAACGCTGATGGACAAGGGGGACCTACTTGTTGATCGGGCTAGACATAAAGAGCGGTGGTCAGAAAATCCAGGCACGCAATCCTAGTATCCAAACAGCATACCATGGGGTAGACGTGGCCGCAGCGTTCGTAAACGTAGCAAACTCTGTGGGGAACTCGTTCAACGGGGTGGGGGATGGGGGATGACGGAGACGTACTGGCGAAGGTAGCACATTCTTGCAAGGTGTATATGTGAGTGGTGAATGCTCTTGTTAGTGCGCTGGAAGATGGGAGTGCGTTTGTTGAGGGGGCCCCCATCCGACGTCTTATATAAAGACGACCGGCGACAGTGTCTCACACCGACAGGATCTTAGAACCGTGGGCCGGAGTTCCCTCCGAAGTAGGCAGAGACGTCTATCTTGCTTTGGATCTGACGCAGCTACCGAACGGCCATGCGCATCATAGGGGCACGCATAAATTCACACAACCCCATGGGTACTTCCGCCGACCCCCCCGGCCGAGTGCGAAGACGTGAACTGACCAAACATCACAGACCCTTCGGCCATACCAGAAAATAAGCACATGGACGCGCTAACAGTTTCAGGAAACGAGCTCACCGGTCGATGCGGTCGGACGGAGGCCAGCGCCGGCGATGCGGGGTTGCTCTGGTTGCTCTCGAGTCTGCATTCGGCGGCGATGCGATGAGAATTGGTAGCTGGAGGCGCTTTCCGGACATATGCAAGCAATGATTGGTCGAAAAGGCCGCAGGGGGACGAGCGGCAAGACATAACAAGCTCGCAGGCACTGAGGATGAGTCGTTATCCCAGCCGGCAGAGGGGCAGAGGCATGAGAGAGGGGAAGCTCCTGTGCTTGGCGTCTGCAGACGGTGATGATGCGCCACGTGCAACGCGGCAGTGTGGGAAAGTCGATGGTGCAAACAATTTCGCCGCACAAGGGTGCCCTTTCCTGGTAACCGTCGACTACGCTGATGCACGTCAGAGCATCACAGCAACGCTCAGCCCATGGCGAAGCAGCGTAATCCCACAAAGCCTTCTAAAACATATGTCGAGGACAAGGTCTGCCTCCTGTCTCATCGGCCGAGCCTTACTGACGCGCGCTCGTCAGAATGCTGCGATAGATCTGGCGAGGTCCGTGGCCGACATAGCGGAGGAGAAAGCCAAAACAAAGATCAGAAACCGCCACTTGACGGTGAGCGTGCTCCCATGCTTGCTTCTGGAGTATCGCCGGTATACTCAGCACACGCTTTCGGACACTTTTTTCCAGGCAGCCACCAGAGACACCAGTAAGACATCTGTGATCGCGAATCCAGCGACAGGGCGCACCTCGACCTCGACGTCCTCAAAAGGGAGGCTTGTAAGTGATTGATCGCCGCCCGTCGACCACTGATATTGATTATCCTCTGTCACCTCAGGAGCGCGCGAAAGCGGCCGTTGCCGCACGAGCCGCCCAGGCCAAGCGAGCCAAAGCCAAAGGGCGAAAGAAGGCTCGCTCTGCGCACGGTCAACACATCGAAGCCACCGCGGAACAGACGGAGGTTTCCACCATCGCACGGAGGGCTCCCGGAGGCGCGAAAACCGGGGACGAAGGCGCGAAGCGCGTTCGGTTCGGTTGAGATCGTCCTGCTTGTTCCGCCCTCCATCGACATCACTCCTCCCGGCGGTTTATTCGAGCGGCCGCCCATCACCGCCGGAAGAACTCTGCGCCCGTTGCACCCACATAGACCGCCTCTCGAAATGCACCGCAGCGGCCTCCTTATCTGTGCAGCAGATCAAGCTTCAAGGCTGGGCTTCCGGCGCCTGCTTAAGCACTTCGCTCCCGAGAACCCCGCGTATCTGATTGTTGATGTAACAGGAGAAAACAGGAGAGATGTCGCGCGGCGCCATTCGTTCACGTTGCTCGGGGTTCATAGCTGCGGAGCATATCACCCTGTCTCACCACCTGAACGAGCTGCTCCTGGCCGTCGGTCGGTGACTCATGCATCCGACCTTCGACCCAGCGTTTCGCCTTAGCAGGCTCCACTTCCGGATCCAAGCCCGATACCACCCATCGAGCTTGCGCAGTAGCAGTCCACGCAGCCATCGACGCAGTCCCGATCCAACCTCGTGCAGCATACGGTCCTAGGGTGGATGCTCCGCTGGGCACTGCAGGAGGACGTAGTGCGCCCGAGGCAACGCCGCTTCGGGCCAGTGGTGCCCAGCCTAATGGGGCAGCCGGGAAAAAGTGGTGCGGTTCCCGTCGACGCGAATCTCCGAGCGAGGACCCGCCGACGCCCACAACGCGCTGCTTCGCGCCGGAGCTTGGCCTGCCGGGGAGCAAGCTATTCACCGACCGTGTGTCGTGGGCAGAGAAGAGGAGGCGCTCCCACGCGCCCGCCGCCCACATCTGGAGCACGTTTCGACTTGGGGCATCCGAGCGCTAGTGGAAGCGTGGTCAGCTCCTTCGAAAGTTTATCCAACTGCAGGTCATTTGATGACATGTACAAGGCTTGGCCGCCTTGCCGTGTGAAGCTTACGATGGAGTTCATCGTTCGCCTAATGCACTAAGGCCCGACCCCGCAAATGAGATGATTGGTAAAGACTCTGGCTTGATCATCTCGCCGTGCGTCGTGCGAGGGGGGCTGCAATTTGCTCTCCTTGGTCGGATATAGCGTGCGCCGTTAACCTCAGGAAATGGGTACCTGCTCAGAAACCTATACGCGGTTGAGGTGAGCGTGCATAGCCTTAGGCAGCATGGTTTCATCAGCTGAGGGATATATCTCCAGGAAATTAGTACGCCGAGAAATAGCCCAGTCATCTCCTACTATTTGACTTGCTCGGTCCTGCATTACCACTTGCAGTGCATTCAGCGCCGCTCGGCCGTCCAAATAAGTCTGCTCTCTCTCGACCAGCCGAAGTGCGCCCTGTGACTCCGTCACTGGTCTACAGGCTGCAACAAATGTATCACTTGCGCCCCTCCTCCGCGCGTAGCTGCGGAGGTCTAGAGAATCACCAGCTGAGATGATCCCGGAAATCACGGCAACTGAGGTCACAGGCGGGTGCCCACTGTGTAATTCCCGCACCTCGCGGAGCCTCCTGCCGCACATCTCGTCAAGTGCACGCGACCGATGTCCGCGCCGTCCATCGTGAGATCTGGGGATATCCCAAGAAGCTGCGGGGCGTGTGTACATGCCCAGAGGCCGCAGTGGGATCACGCCCGTCTCGCCAAAGGCGGTGAAGGCTGCTGCGTAGTACGTACTACTGGGGGTTTGCCAGAATTCTTCCATGGGGAGGCACGGCGATCGAGGGCCTCTTCGCGACAATTATATTGTATATGCCCCGACTGGGATACCGGCCGTAGACTAGCCGACTGCACACTAAAGGCGCAATCGAGGCCAGAGGATAACATCGCGGCGATGGCCGACCGTGGTCGCACGCGCTGTGGGACGTTCGAAGTCTGACGGAGGAATTCGAAGTGAGCCATGACGGCAAAAGAATCGACAGCGTAAAAGCTATACAGTTACAACATAACCAACCAAGCAAGGATTCATCGCGCTCGACCACTAACAGCCCCTGACCTCGTACCCGTCCGTTTGAGGGGGTGGCCTATACGTCCGCGTCGTCTGCACCTTCGTCATGCGGTCTCGTAGCACCGAGCGAGGTCGGACCCGCAGCCCCCCGCGAAACCTCCATCTCTTCGCCCTCGCCCTCGCCCTCGCCCTCGCCCTCCAACCCTTCCCGCTCGTGCCGTTGCCTCCGCTCGTACCCACCTCCTCGCCGTCCAGGTCCCCAGATTCGGACCCGAGGTCCCGCAACCAGCCGTTGAAGTCGACGTCGCGGTCCAGGAGCTCGCTGACCTGCTCGATGTGCGCCTCGAGGTCGAACTGCGAGCAGTACGGCCCCCCGCCGAGGAAGCCGCTGCTGCCCCGCATGAGCGTGTTGTCCCGCCCGGGCGGCGCCGGCGGCATCGCGAACGGGTCGTCCTCCTGCGTGGACGTGAACGGGGGCGCGAACGCGCGCGGGTCCTGCGAGAAGGGATGCGCGTCCGCGTCGAGGCTGATGTCCCTGCCGCGACCAGCGGCGACTCGGCGACCGCGCGCGGCGAGCGGCGACGCGCCCGAGTTGGACGAGCCTGACGCCGGGGAGGAGAAGTATGTCTTCTGGGAAGCGTGGTCCGGCGTGGATGGACGGGAAGACGCCGCGCCGTCCATGTCGGCATCGGCGTCAAGCGGCACGCCCTCGTGCTGTGAGTCCCGTCGTGACGGGGGGCGCGGCCGTGCGCGGGACCGCCGGGACGACGCGAGGAGCTCCGAAAGGGTCGGGACCGGGCTCTGTGCGCTGGGCGTGGTGGGCACCAGGAGGCCGCGGGCGTTGCCAAGCCCCTTTGTGTGCATCCGCACCTTGCCCTTGGACACTGGAGTCACAAGCGCGGCGGGTGACGAGGACGTCCGAGGGGGCGTTGAGGGTGGTACGGGTGCGTCGACGGATGTTTCCGCGGGCTCGGCCTGGGCTGACGGGTGCACGCCGGTAAAGGCGTCCGGGCCTTCTTCGCCACGGGACCGCGCGGTGGGTGGGGGGAGCCCGAGGGGTCGACGTCCATGTGCGCGCCGTCTGAGGTTGGGTCTGTCGTGCGAGCCCGCTTGCCGGGTTTGCGTATAGGCGACGGGTCGGCCGGGCTGGATTGCGCGCGCAGGGCTGCGCTTCGACGGTTCGGTCTAGAGGCATCGAATGATAGACCAGAGAGGGGAGACGATGGGGGCGGTGAACATGGAGCGATGGGTGGTGGTTTGCGACGCCCATTCTGGAGCGGGGTAGATGTTTCCAACTGTGATGGAAACGACGGGGGTAGGAGAGACTAGGTTGTGTGTCTCCATGAGTGCTAAGGTGGGCTGGGGGGCAGTAATCATCGCTCACCAAATCCGTAACATCCGCAATCCGACGGGAGTCCTTGGGCCCTCCGTCTGGATGTATCGTTTGCGCAGGTTCGACCGGAGATGGTTGGGGTTGAAGAACCTCTTTCTGACCGAACCTAGGAGAGTCCTCTTCTATAACGGGCGTAGGATCGCGAGCCGGGAGAGTGGACTTCAGGCGGGGAGCACCCAAGCTTCCGCTATCTCCTTTCGCGGACTGGATGCTCGAACGCTTGACGACCCGGAACCCAAGGGAGGTCTGTACTTTCTCTGCTTTCTCCGGTAGAGATGGCGCCATCCGCGTCTTGCCCTTGTCGACTTTCGGAGACTGGGACGGATCGAGCATGGGCTGTGTGTTCGGCGTGTTCTCCACCTCCGGAACAGTAACCACCGTCGCCTGCCACCGCTCGACCTTTTCTCGAAAGATCGTAGCTCTACTCGCCGGTACCACTGGAACGTCTGCCACTAGTGGTTCGGGGTCGATATGGATATCAGGCTCCGGTTCGGGTCCGGGTACAGGTTCGGGGGTAAGGGCGTTTGTAGGGATGATAGGAGGAGCGTCTTGAGCAGGAAGTTGGAAATACTTGGAAGTCGTGGCGGCCTTCATCTGAGGTTCGGCCCTCGCGGTCGTCTTGGGTATAGGAGCGCGCTTGAGCCTGGGTCCACTCGCCCGAGGTTGGGCCTTGGGTCGAGGCCGGGGCCGCTCGTTCTTCTTCGTCTTTCTCCTCTCTCGCTCCTCGACCACTGCTGCTTGCCACTTCTCCTCGTACACCGCCCACGCCTCCTCTGTCGTGGGCTGCTTCCACTCGAAGTCCTTCCCCACCGTCCCCATCCTGTCTCCGCCGATCCGCACGCCGTCTGCGAGCCCGCGGTACCGGTGCGTGCGGCGAGCCGGGTCTTGCGCGAGAGATAGGCCCACTTCGGGTGCGAGGTTTCCCATTGCGCGAGGTGCATGAGGGCGATCAGCTGCGTCTTCGTCTCCGCGATGCGCTTTTCGCTGCTGGGAGAAGGCGGGCGCGAGGTGGGGCATAATTCCTGCGGGAGTCCGATGTACTTTGCATGGCGCTCGTCCAAGACTTCTTGCAGGGTAGGCTGGTTCGTTTGGCTCGAGGATGGCTCTGACGATGACGAAGCCACCGCGTTCATGTCAAGCACCAATAACAGGTGAAATGGATGGGTATGAGATAAAGCAAGGTAGAACAAGAAGGCAAGGAGGTGGGCACGGGTAGCTGCGAGTCGCGATCACGGGCGCGTGTAGTCGAACATGGCATTTTCCCATCTTATTGTGTCTAGTATTACGTAAACAACGGGCATAACTGCCAGCCTCTTATCCAAGCTGCCTCGGGCTGTTCTTCCGTATCATCGGGATTCACTGTTCGCAAACACACTAGCGGCGCACTAGAGAAAGTAAAGCAACCAAGATTTTGTATATCTAACGAAGAAGAGGGGGTACTCGTATGCTACATATAATACAGCTAGCTATGTGCTTCATCTCACTTGCAAGCATACCGGCAGTAAATTAGGGATGCACTAGGCGTCATACCTTATAGCCCGAGGGGTCTCGCGGGTCGTCATACGTGGTGTATCATAAGAAAGGAAAGTCGTTAGGCCGTAATCATCATCATGCGTCTACCGGAGGGCGACAACTACCGTGCCCAGCACTGTCGCGCTCACGTGCGCTCGTCTGTGCCCCAACTGGGGGCCAGCGCCCGGACCACCGGCGAATTGCACTCGGTGGGTCCAGGTCGAAGGTGTCGCCAGCAACCCGCTGTTGGGCGCCCGCTATACCGCCATGCTGTGTCGCCGAAAGTCGTCGGCCTCGATCCGACGGACGCCCGAGGAGTGCACGCTTCGCCGCCGGCCGTCCAGAGACGACCAAGACCCGGCACGGGCACTTGTGTACTCCGCGTCCGCCTGTGTGCCTTCGCTTTCGTCCTCGTCGTCCGGAGGCACGTAGCTCCGGGACTTCTTGCGCTTGATCGTACCCGCAGACGGGTTCTCCGGGTCGGCGGCTTCTGCGGTGTTGGAGGACGATGAGCGAGACGAGATAGCAGGGGGCTCGTCGTAGGTGCCGACTGTTGACGAGCGCTTGGAGGATGTCTGAAGGACAGGGTCGGGTTTACGCATTTTCCTACAGCAGAACGTGATCAGCATCGGAGACCGGGTGTGTCATAAGATGGAACCTACGTGTTCAACTTGGGCTCGGCGTAGTTCACGCTCTTCCGCACCCTCCGTTCTCTGCCACCAGTGATCTCCGACTCGGCCTGGGGTGGTGGCGGGATGGGACTTGACGAGCGTGGCGTGGGGAGTTGAGATTGCGAAAGAGGCTTCGAACTCATCGCGGGGGTGGTCGCAGGGGTGGTAAAGAAGTTGCGTGTCGACGTGCTCGCCATGCTCGTCGCAGATGTCGGGGCCTCAGTGTCCGGTGTGCGCAGACGATCGCGATCTGTGCCATGCAGGGTCGGTGGTGAGGTACGCGCATGGAGCAAGATGTGCTCACCTCCAGACGCAGTGTTGATTGGCGCGAGGGACGCACGCACTTGCGAGTTCGTGACGTCCTTGAGCTTCGATTTGCCGCCCTCTACGGGGTTGGACTGGTCCTCGGAAGAGCGGTGCTTCTTCCGCTCGCGCGGACGAGGCGGCTCGATGAGCGCATCCAGCACGTCGGTATCTGATTCGCGCGCCTTGGAGCTCGACCGCTCCTTCCTCATCTTGCGCTCGCGTTTGGTCACGGCCTGGAGGATGGCCTCCACTTCGTCCTCGTCTGGCTCCGGGATGTCGTCATCGTCGTCCGGGACACATCGGATTGGGGAATCGGGGATGGGACTGGACGCGCGAGGGAGTCCGTCGACGGTTGAGATGGACAGACCTGTCAGAAGACCACTCTGCCGGCGCGTGGGTCGCCGCTTCCCGGTCTTGCCGAGCTCATCGTCGAACTCGGATCGACACGCAGGAGGAGAGGGCGGCTGACACGCAGGGACGGGAAGACGACTGGGAGCCGAACTCGATGCGCGGGACTTGGACTTGCGTTTGCGGGCAAGTGGGCTCGGCTCGGCTTCGGGCTCGGGATCTTCGGGGCCGGACGGGTTGGGTTCATCGTCTTCAACGAGCACAGGAACTGTGGGAGCACGGGCGATGCGGTTAGGCGGTGGGGACACGTTGGGATCAGGGATGGGTCGTTTCGCGCGTGGCGGGTGTGGATGGGACTCGGGGGTCGGTGTTCGCGAATGTGAGACGCCAGAGGACTTGCGGATGAGCCCCAGCTGCTTGAGGAGAGAGTGGGTCTAGACAACGGTCATGAGGAGGGGGCCACGCGCGATCGAGAGGAAGGACGCACCGCACACTCCGTATCTGCCAGAATCTTCCGCGACTTCTCCTTCTCCTTCTTCAACTGCGAGGAAAGTGCAATCTCCGAGGCCCGGAGGCGGAGGTTCTCGACGTAGAGCTGTGATATCTGGGCATTGAGTTCCTCTATGCGCGCGCTCAAGGTTGAGTTCAGTCTATTATAACGGGGCGGTGGTCAGCGGCAGCGACCCCAGGTCAGGCATGCAGGCGAACTTCGTAATGTGCTTGTTGGCGAGCAGAAACTTCTTCTTGACTGTATGCAGAGGCGGAGCGCGAGGAGCGTGAGTACGAGCTGCGTGAGAGGGAAGAGCGACACGCACAGTTCTCGAACTCGAGCAGGGTATCGCTTTGTCGGGCATCGAGAGATACGCGCGACTGTCGTCGGCTCATCGTGAGCGGCGGCGGGCGGGGCCGTCGCAGGGCGGGTCGGGGGCAGGGGTGGGGGGCTCGGGGCCGTCGTGGAGGTGGTCAAGGAGGAGTGCTGGTCGCTGTTCGATTTCCCGTCGCGTGGCCCACGACCGCCCATCAGCCTGGCTCGCGCCCTGGTTCAGCTTCTGGCGCCTGCAAAAATGGGCTTGGTTCGGCTCCAGCGACATGACGAACCGAGCCGCGGATTTGGCCCGTCACGGCTGGGGCCTTGGGCCGCCCAAGACTCATTCACCATCCACCACCACTCCCTTCAGCTCCGGCGACAAAGCCCTTCCTCTTGATCGTGCGGTGCCCCGTGAAGCCAATTGCGCGTCGTTAAACATGACTAACGTCTCATCAGGGTCTAAACGTGCGTTGGATGGACCAAACGACGGTGATTCGCACAAAAGACCTCGAGAGGACGCCCGCGACCGTAGAGATCCCCGAGACTCGCCCAGAAGCCCGCGCCGGAATGGGCCGCCATCCGGGAGAGGAGATAGGCGGTCGGGTCACGACAGAAGGCCGTCGCGCAACGACCAACAACCTCGTAGCAGAGACCACGACTACGACAGGAGAAGACCGCAGGACAGAAGCAGGCGCGATGACCGGGACAGGGAGAGAGACCGCGACCGTCCAAGAAACCGCAGTCGTGGATCTCGAAGGGATGATGGGCCGCGGAGGGACGGCAGGCACGACGACGACCGCACCAAGCGTTCTCCGCCGCCCCATATGACCGTTAACGGTAGAGCGCATTCGCGCCCCGCCCCCAAGGCAGACGATGAGAAGGAAGAAGGCGAGTGAGTATCGTTTCTATGGCCCGTCTTGGGTGAGCACGGGAGCTGACTGTATGTTGTTCGCTAGGATCTCCCCTCGTCCTGCTCAACTGTCCTCGCCTCCTCGCCCTTCCCAGTCGGCAACCTCCACTGCCCCTGCAAAGCCCCCACCTGCCCCCGAACCCGAATTAGAGCTCGACCTTCCATCACCCCCCGCCGTTGATGACACACTAGCAGCCCGCCGCGCCCGCCGTCAAGCGATCATGGCCAAGTATGCCGGGATCGCGAGCAGCAACCCACCGGCGACCCCGAGCCCGGGCCCGAGTAGTGCGGTCGAGCCGCCTTCCGCGACGCCTTATGTGTCTGATTTCCCATCTCGGGCCCACAGCACTGTGGATACCCCAGCCGCGGCCGCAGGCGACCGGCACGACTCGACTTCACCCCCGCCCGATTCCGGAATTTTCTCGCTCGCCAAGGGCGACGAGGAAGAGCAGGCTCAAGCTCGAGCCCAAGAGATGGATGGGACTGGTGAGCAGGTGTCGGCCGCGGATTATGACCCGAGTTTGGATCGGAGAGAGGACGAGCACAAGCGGGTATGGGGCGGCGCCAAAGACGAGGCAATTGATGTCGAGATGGTTGAAGAAGAAGAGGAGGAGGAGGAAGACGTCGACGACATGTTCGCCGTAGCCACCACGGTGAAGAAGGTCAAGAAAGTCAAGCGCGTCGTGGTACGTGTTTCCTCCTTCTTTGCGAACTGCCCTCTTATCATATCGTCCTGTTAGAAAACCGCTGCGCCTGCCATCATTGCGACTGCCACTCTCGATACGGCCGCTGACGCCGAAGGATACTATCAAGTCATTCTCGGCGAGCAGCTCGACGGAGGACGCTACCAAGTGTTCTCGCTGCTGGGGAAAGGCATGTTCGCTTATGTCGTCAGGGCCCGTGTCTTGCAGGGTGACGCCAACGAGGTTGGCAAAGAGGTTGCGATCAAGATTGTGCGATGCCAGGAGTCGATGTAAGATGTCATCCCCATCGTATGTTTTCGAGGCCGTCTGCTGACGTCTAGTGCAGGTTTAAAGCAGGCCAGAAAGAGGCCCAGATCCTAATGAAGCTCAAGCAAGCAGACCCCGAAGACAAGAAGCACATCGTTCGACTCGATCGTACATTCGAGCATCGCGGACACCTTTGTCTGGTGTTCGAGTCACTCAGGTGAGTGTACCCTCATATCTGTCGTCCTCCTTTTCTGATAGGGCATGGTAGCATGAACCTTCGTGATGTCGTCAAGAGGTTTGGTAAAGACGTCGGTATCAATATCCGCGCCGTGCGCGCATACGCTCACCAGCTCTTCCTCTCGTTGAGCTTGTTGCGCAAGTGCAACATCATGCATGCGGATATCAAACCGGATAACATCTTGGTCAGTCACTCGCCCAGACATTCTTCTCTTCCAACTGACGTGATATCGTTGTCGTGCAGGTCAACGAGCAGAAGACAGTGTTGAAACTTTGCGATCTCGGTTCCGCATCCGATGCCTCTGAGAACGACATCACGCCGTATCTCGTTTCCAGGTTCTATCGTGCTCCCGAGATCAGTATGTTATCTGTTGGAGTCTTTCCCTTCCTCTTGACTGACTCCCCGTGACAGTCATGGGTCACCCTTACGATCCGGCTATCGACATTTGGTCCATCGGCTGCACGCTTTACGAACTATACACGGGCAAGATCCTCTTTCCTGGTCGGAGCAACAACCAGATGTTGCTGCACATGATGGAGCTAAAGGGTCGCTTCAACACACGCATGATCAAACGCGCCAAGTTTGGTGACATGTACTTCGACGATCTCGGTGCCTTCTTAAGCGTCGAACAAGACCGCCTGACAGGATCGGTGCGCATTCTCCCCTTGCTGCCACGAGAGCTTGGCTGACGGCGTGCGCTTTCAGAATGCCGTGAAGAAGGTGCACGTAACGAAGCCTTCTCGCGACCTCCGACAGCGCCTGCTTCCTCCCAGTTCGGTGAAGCTCAAAGATGAAGAGAGCAAGTTATTGATGTCGTTCGTGGACCTGCTCGACAAGTGTCTTTCCTTGGACCCGTCGAAGCGTATCACTCCCAAGGAAGCGCTCGTTCACCCGTTCATCCGGGGATGAGTTCTATAGTGTGTATCGAGGTCGGGTTGCGCTTGGCTCTCTCGAGCAAATAGTTGCTAGCCCTCTTCATTTGTAATTTGATTGTACATAACGCGGATGACACACGCTAATTCCGTCGTTGCCAACTGGGCGACTTTGCCGGTCAGATGTGGGAATACAATTAGCCCTGTGGGGTCATGCTGCGAGCCAGGTGGGCTCCCGCCAAGACCCCGGCATGCACAGTGCCTGTGCGTACTTATAGCGACCACGCTGTGGCATCGAATCTCCATGGCTCCCAACGCCCACTCCAGACTCACCGATGTTCTCGGTCACCTTTCTTCCTCTGCCTCTGAGCTGCCTACGTACGACGAGCTCCCCGAGTTCAAGAACTTCAAGGGGTGTGCCTGGGAAGTGTGGGGAAAGGATGATCAGCTCGGGACCGTGAACCTGCTCACGCCCGAAGTCATCAAGGAGGCGGCCAAAGAGATCCGGTATGTCTTCGTGTCCTCATCATGCGTATTCAGCCCGGCACTGGAATACTCACCGTCGCACGACGCCCACAGGTCCGGCCAGTCGATCTGCTTGAACTGGTGAGTGCTCACCTTCCCTCGTGCGGGGTCCCGGGCTTATCGAGCGTTTGGACACGTGCCCGGGAACGCGGCAGGCCGATACAGTTCCCGAGCAAGGTACGCTTGACGCCTCCATCACACGAAATCGGCGCCTGACCTCTGATCCCCTCCAGCCGGTCTTTGGCCGCAAGACTCCAGAGCACACCATCCTCAGCGCCGCGCCCATCGCAATCAACGACGATGTGCTCCACATCGTGAGTGCTCGCTGACGCGCGTGGGCGTACCGACGTTGCTGACTGCTGACTTCTCGCTCCGACAGAACACCCAATCCGGGACGCAGTGGGACGGGATGAAGCATTTCGGCATCATCGAGCACAACTGCTTCTACCAGGGCGTCGACCACTCCTTCTTCAAGGACGGCTCCCTCGACATCAGGGGCCCCGACGACGTCAACCCGGAGCTGATCAAGTACGGGATCCACAGTGCGTCGTCCCTTGCGTCCCATCTCGTCGCTCCTCCCCATCACGGTCGCCCACGGACTGATCGCGCACCCTCCGCGATAGACTGGGCGCAACACGGAATATGCGGCCGCGGCGTGCTGCTCGACATGGTCAAGTTCTACACCGACAAGCTCGGCAAGCTCCCGTACGACCCGTTCACGACGCATCCGATCCCGCTCGCGGACCTCCTCGCGTGCGCGCAGGCGCAGGGCACGTCCTTCCGCCGTGGAGACGTCCTCCTCATCCGCGCGGGCTTCATGCTGCGCTTCAACGGCGCGTCGCAGGATGAGCGCGACTCGATGCAGGGCCGGCCTGAGACCTTGTGAGTCCCCACCTCCCACCGCGAGAGCTGGCGGGGAGAACTTTGCTGATCGGGTGCCGGCAGCGCGGGTATCGAGCAGGGCGAGGAGATGAAGCGTTTCCTGTGGAACAACCACTTCGCGGCGGTCGCGTCGGACATGCCGGCACTCGAGGTGCGTCCCTTCATATCTGTCTCAGTGTGCGTGGGATGCGGTCGCTGACTATGACGACGCAGCGTTGGCCGACCCCCGAAGGCGTCCCGCACCTGCACCAAACGCTCCTCGGGTACGTCCGCCCGTCCGAGTGCGTCCGCGCTTGCGTGCCACTGTCCTCACACGGCTCCACTGCAGACTGTGGGGAATGCCCATCGGGGAGTTCTTCGACCTCGAGGCGCTCTCGAAGCACTGCGCCGAGACCGGCCGCTACTCGTTCTTCTTCTCGTCGTGGCCTCTCAACGTGTGCGTTTGTCTCGCTTCGACTATGCGTCGTCGCTTGTGGTGCTGATGAGGCCTTGCTTACATTCAGCCTCGGAGGCGTTGGGAGCCCCCCGAACGCGGCTGTAAGTGCATTCCGGTCTTCTCTTTGGTGCGAGCGCTGACGTTGGAGGTCGGCGTACAGGCGTACTTTTGAGAGGCAGAGAGAGTGGTCGAACGTTGAACACTGGGTATTTCGAGTAACCTGTAACACTATCGAGAACAAGTGTCGCGTTTCACGAGCAGACTGCGACGTGTTAGCTTTTCCGGGAGCCCACATGGGGCATGGGCCGAGACGCAATCAGCGAGCCTCTTTCGAGGGACTGTGCACGCTCCGCACGGGCATTTCGCAAGATTTCTCTCCCATCCACAGCGTGTCCAGCCCGCGGCGCGTAGCAGACTCGCGATCGGGCATCTGCCCGGAAAAGAAGATGTGGTGCCGGTGTGTGTGGTTGCTTAGGTGAGACTCTATCCGCAATAAGACCTCCGGTGTAACGACGTTGGTGGCGTCCAGGGATCCACCTACCCTGGAGGCGCACAAAGCGTAGTCACAACAATCGCAGGGGAACCGCCGGGCTCGCACACGGTTCATTGATCAACAAGCGCGAACGGTGCACATTCTCTTCATCTCGAAGGAGCGTAAGATTACAACGACAACGATCCTTACCACGCCGGATCGTCTCCTCAGGCCGTCCTCTGCTTCAAGTCGTTCGGCGGTTCGGAGCCACCAGCTTCGGCCGCTTGGGGTCGATCACGTAACCGCTCTCGTCCAACGGAACGATCCCCGCCGCCCGGAAGAAGTCGGGATACTTCGCGTACTCTGGCACCGTCACGGTTGTCCCGTCAGGCTGTACCTTCGTCACCTTGCGCCAGTTCTCGAGGTCCGCATATTTCCTGAAGATCTCCTTGAGGCTCTCGTGAGTGCTGAGCGGCCCGTCTTCGTTAACTTGAAGCCCCTCCTCTTCCTCGACGTCGTCGGGGGCGACTCCAACGGGTTGGTCGGAGGGCGCGTCGCCGCGGCCGTAACGATCATAGCATGCTTGGTCATCAATCGTCGAATAGTGTTCACCGGATACTTGCGCGATCCTCATGAGGATCTTGTACATGGTCTGGTTGTTCATAGGGTCGAGCCAGGGTTTGGGTAGCCCATTCTTATGAACTTCTCGTCCCCACCACAGTAAAGATTGTCCTGGCCGATTTCGAAATCAGCGTAGACCATATTGACGATGGTTTGCAGCCGCGTATAAGATGTCTTTGTACAGGCAGTGTATGCCGTCACGTGGAATCGTAGGACGAGATACTGGAAGACGTGTACGAACGCCTCGACTTCATCGCTTAGGCGATACGGGCGGGATAAGGGATACTTCAACGACAGGCTCGACCGGAAGTACCAGGGTCCCTAAGAGGTCGGATGTGAGCGCGACAGGACACGTCCGAGTACGAGTGTGCGACACCTACCACAGCCCCGTGTTGCCGAGGGCCTGTCGCGTTGTCCATCTGCGCTTTAGTCTTCGACAGCTCCCAGTCACCGAGGAGCGCCGTCCGCGTGATCTGCTCTTCGGCGTCGTCAAACTCGGAGAGGATGAAGATGCTGTGTGTACTGATTTGACGATGGAGTGTTTGCGCGTTCGACCACGCCTTCTCGTGTGCTACAAATAGGACATGAGGCACGTCGTTAACCTATTCGAAGCGACGGGATTAACAGTATAACGCACCTGTCATGGCGTTCAACATGAACCCCGACAGCTCGTGGAAGTTCCCAAACTCCGAAAGAGGCTGAAGCAGATGCTCGATGACGATTCGGTAGTGAACAAGTCCCTCATCTTTCGTGCGCTGAGCCTTGCCGTTAATTTCAACGTCGCCGCCACAAACGCAAGTGGGGATGTTGGTGACCTGAGCCTCTTTCAGCCGATCGTACACCTTGTGCTCGAGCTCCATCTCCTCGTGGTCGGGTCGCCAATAGTCCTTGATAGTGTAACCCTTGATCGAGCCGTCCTGCTCGACATGGAAGCCGTGGAACACCCGCGGCGCGGGTCCGTACAGCGCACAGGTCTGGATGATCGGACGCCCAACCACATACGTCTCGCTTTCGACCGTCATGCGCTGGAGTGGCCATTGCGTGGAGACTGATTCGTAGGTCTCGGTCTTCGGGTCACGGCACAGAGCGCGGAGAAGAAGAGCCCGTCGCGGATCGGCCGTCTTCATGCCCCGTGCGTGCGCGAGCAGCCTCTTCTCGTCTTCACCGTCGGCCAGAGTCACCGAAGGATCGAAACCGAGTTGCTGACGATCCATGCGCGCGAGCCGCCAGAAGAAGCGATGCAGTGTCTGATCTTCGCGTGTGCCGTACACGAACTGTTCCGAGATGTAGCAGCGTTCGCGATCGACGAAGAGGAGTCGGGCCTTGTCGCGGCAGATGTACACCGCGAACAGATGGGTGCGGTACTGTCGTCCTAGAATCGCAGAGCAGTACTCGGTGATCTGGACTAGAGACTGGCACCCGTTCTCGCTGTAACGTCGTGCCACCCCGACAGTGTGACTTTGGAACTGGAAGGCTGCGTGGTCGTGGGATGTCTTCACTTGCATAGGAACGACGATGTCGGCGTAGGACGTTGCACCAGCGAATTCGTTCACGGCTTCGGCACGTGAGCTGTCGCCATCGTTGCAGGTCTCTTCCTCTTCTTCTGACTCGGACTCATCTGGTGGGTTCGCGGCCAGCAGCTCCCGAGTGCGCTCGGTGTTGAGGTAGATGGAGAGGTCTGGGCGGGTGCGCTGGTGCCCACCGGCGCCGCGGCTGTCGTCTTTCAGGAACCTCGTCGAGGTGTCTAGCAGCAGCATGCGAGGTTTAGCTGAACAGCGAGTCCTCGCCTCGGCCAAGAAGACAGAGCGAGCGATTTTTGCCTGTGAGAGTGCTCGCGCATCAGCAAAGCAGAGACGTGGGGTGAGCGAACGCCGAACACTCACGATCTCGACGTTGACACGTCGCTGAGACTTCACATTGTAGATCAAGCCTTCGCTTGGATAATAGAGGTCCGTGATGTCCGTTGGAAGATCCTCTCCATGCATGAATCTTCGAAAGAACATCTCGGCCGGGATCTCCTCCATGGAGAAATGTATTCTTTGCATCTGTATTACGGTACGCGGATCCTCAGTCACGGTGTGTTACATGGCAGTAGCAAGCGGAACTTACTGTGAGATGTATTCAACCAGAATTTGCTTGCGCAGAGATGGAATTGTAGTGTTCGTATGCGGTGAGAGTGCCGATGGAGGTGAATGTTGGAGGGGGCGCAAAGGTCGTGGCGAGAAGCACCCTTCAGAAGCGCCGGTGACATGTGCCGCGTTCAGGCGTGACTCCCTGCTCGTCTGCCAAGTCCTCCCTGCCATGTCCTCCGACTTCTCCTCGTCCTCGCCTGAACCAGAGCAAGAAAGAAGACGGATGAAGCTGAAGGTCCAACCGCCTGCTTCTTCTTCCCTTCTGCCGCTACCGTGCCTGCACCAGTCCCGCGTCCTCCGCCGTCCGCCTTGCGCAATCGTGATGGCCCCGCTCATCCATGCCTTTACCTATTACCTCAACGTCTCGCCCCTGCACCCGTATATACGCCGCATGTGAATCTAGGTCATTTTGGACATTTCGGGATGACCATTGGGCATTATGGAATGCATTCATGACGCTTTTGGCGAGTTTTCCATCCATACATATAAGACCATATCTATGCGAATTCCCCGATCCACCATCCACTTGACTGAGGCCGCTCGCCTTCGCGCTCACAAGTACGGCGTCCGTTGCGGTGGTCCCCTCTTGGCCTCTGAGTCCTGTTGCGTCCGGAGAGGCGATCAACCACGCTGCCGTCCTTGTGACTTTGGCAACGCTGGCGGTGCGTCTGTGCGTTCTGCCGCTCTCGCCGCCTGCTTACTCCTGCCTACACCGCAATGCTGCACCGCAGACAGCGTTGCGTGCACCCACGATTGCCCACCCACATCTCCGCCCTTCGATGCTTGAACACACAACATCCACCTACTGCGCAGGACGGCGGCACAGCTCAACACAACCCGTGCCGAAGGATGACGGGGACCGTTACCCCAGTCCTAAGCCCGGCGTGCCGCTGCCGCCGCGGACGCGGCAGACGACGGCAGACGGATGTGCCAACATTTACCCGCGACGAGGATGGCCACAGGTGCGCGGACGGGTCAAGCCTGGGGATCATGCTCAACGCCGCCGCCTTCAGGATCCGCGCCGCTCCGTGACTCTGTGTCGCCAGAGGTGTCTGCGAGTTCGATGTTCGAATTCCAACCCCCACCCAAGGTCGCAACCTTCGCCCCGTACGGGAATCTGTCCATCTGTGCGAGGAACGTGCGTGGTGTGGTTCCAGAGCGGTCGCATGGCCGTGCGTTGCACGAATGACAACGGCGGGCGGAGGCTTTCACCCTCAGTCGCCCCCACGACTGGGTTGGGCTCTGGATTGCGTAGCATCATGTCGACGGTTCTTATACTTGCCCATTCCATATATATACTATTCACACCCATTTTTGTTTCTTCGTGAACGCGTGGGCAGAAGAGGCGGAGAGCTGTTGAGCCGGACACGCAGGACGGGGAGAGACTGCACACCCGATTGGTTGTTATCGGCGCGCAGGTTCATAAAAGCAGTCTGGGCAGGCGGGGTGGAGCGTGACACAATACTTGACGGCGTATGCATTTCCTCGTTGATGTGTGAGATGCTCATCGCACCGTCGAACAGTTTATGTTACATGTACGCTCAGCCGGTGCGAAGCCCTGCTCATCTTGCAGTTCCTACTACTATGATCACGTGTAATCTGCATGCAAGTGCAAATGTTCGCTCAGTGCGCCTCGAGCCCGGGCGGTGTCTCGTGGATGTAGGGCCGACCGCGATGGGCGTCTGCAGGTTTCAGGACGCACCCCAGCGCTTCCTCTCTCTTTCTCACCACGATCTCTGCGTCCCTGCCGGGCCTCAAGACGCTCCCTCGTCACTCTCAACACATCAGAACATTGCGCTAATCCATCTCTACATAATCTACTTCGGATTTTGGACGTCGTACAGTGAGTCCCGCCTGCTACTGCCACTGTGTAAGACACCGTAACTGAGGATCCTCGTACCGTGATATAGATGCAAAGAATACATTTCTCCATGGAGGAGATCCCGGCCGAGACGTTCTTGCGAAGACTCATGCCCGGAGAGGATCTTCCAACGGACATCACGGACCTCTATTGTCCAAGCGAAGGCTTGATCTACAATGTGAAGTCTCAGCGACGTGTCAACGTCGAGATCGTGAGTGTCCGCCCACGTCGCGTGTCTGCTTTTCTGACGCGTACTCACACAGGCGAAAATCGCTCGCTCTATCTTTGACGCTGAGGCGAAGGCTCGCTGTTCAGCCACGCCTCGCATGCTGCTGCTCGACACCTCGACGAGGTTCCTGGAAGACGACAACCACGGCGGCGGTGGACACCAGCGCAGGCCCGCCCCGACCTCTCCATCTACTTCAACACTGAGCGTGCTCGGGAGCTGCTGGCTGCTAACCCCGACGAGTCCGAGTTGGAAGAAGATGCAGAGGCTTGCGACGAAGGCGGCAGCTCACAGACTCCGACTCGCGCCGAGACCATGAAAGAATTCATCGGTGCAACGTCGTACGCCGATATCGTCGTTCCTATACAAGTGAAGACATCCCATGACCACGCAGCCTTCCGGTTCCAAAGTCACACTGGCGGGGTGGCACGACGTTACAGCGAGAAGGGATGTCAATCTCTGACCCAGATCACCGAGTACTGCTCCGCGATTCTAGGACGACAGCACCGCACCCATCTGTACGCGGTATACCTCTGCCGCGACAAGGCCCGACTCCTGTTCGTCGATCGCGAACGCTGCTACATCTCGGAACAGTTCGTGTACGGCACACGCGAGGAGTGGACACTGCATCGCTTCTTCTGGCGTCTCGCGCGCATGGATCGTCAGCAACTCGGTTTCGATCCGTCGGTGACTCTGGCCGACGGTGAAGATGAGCGGCGGCTGCTCGCGCACGCACGGGGCATAAAGACAGCCGATCCACAACAAGCTCTTCTTCTCCAAGCTCTGTGTCGTAATCCGAAGACCGAGACCCACGAATCAGTCTCCACCCAGTGGCCACTCCAGCGCATGACGGTCGGAAGCGAGACGTATGTGGTTGGGCGTCCGATTATCCAGACCACTGCGCTGTACGGACCCGCGGCGCGGGTGTTCCACGGCTTCCATGTCGAGCAGGACGGTTCGATCAAAGGTTACACTATCAAGGACTACTGGCGACTCGACCACGAGGAGATGGAGAACGAGCACAAGGTCTACGATAGGCTGAAAGAGGCGAAGGTCACCAACATCCCCACTTGCGTTTATGGCGGCGACGTCGAAGTCAACGGCAAGGCTCAGCGCACGAAAGATGAGGGACTTGTTCACTACCGAATCATCCTCGAGCATCTGCTTCAGCCTCTTTCGGAGTTTGAGAACTTCCGCGAGCTTTCGGGGTTCATGTTGAACGCTATGACGGGTGCGTTCTGCCGTCGATGACGCCGCTTCTAGTAGAACGACTCGTCTCATGTTTCACCTTGCAGCCCACGAGCAGGCGTGGTGCGGTGAAGCCAAAACACTGCATCGTCAAATCAGCACGAACAGCATCGTCATCCTGTCCGAGCTTGACGACGCCACCCAGCAGATCACGCGAACGGCGTTCCTGAGTGACTGGGGGCTGTCGAGGACCAAGACGCAGATGAAGAACGCTGCAGCACCTCGGATTGGGACGGTAGTAAGTGCCGCACATCCGTACGACGACTGGTGTCGCGCTCATATCCGCCCTCTTAGGGACCCTGGTACTTCCGATCTAGCCTGTCATTGATGTATCCCTTGTCCCGCCCGTATCGACTGAGCGATGAAGTCGAGGCGTTCGTACACGTCTTTGAGTACCTGGTCCTACGATTTCATGTGACGCAACACACCTATCGTCAAAACTCGTATAGGGGCCTACAACGCACCGTTGAGGACGTCTACACCGCCTACAACCTCCATGACGGTGTTTACATGGGAGGGGCCCGGAAGTTCGACAACATGACCCAACCACGACCCTGGCTCAAGCCTGTCAACAACGCTACCTTGTACGATATTCTCGAGAAGATCGCCACAGTAACCAGTCTACACTATTCGACGATTGATGACCGTGTGTACTTCGAACGTTATGGCCTCAAACCGCCGGGCGACGCGTCCTCCGACCAACCTACCGTCATCTCCGCCGACACCACGGTCATCAAGCATCCTGACGAGGTCGGGCCGCTCCGCTCTCATGAGGAGCTCAAGGCCATCTTCCAGCACTATGCGGATATCCAGCATTGGGACGAGAAAGACGCGACATACAAGGATGACGACTTCTTCTGGGCGGCAGGGATCGTTCCGTTGGACGAGAACGGTTTTGTGATCTATATGCCCCTCGCCAGGTCCGACAGCAGTGGCTCCGAACCGGCGAGGAAAAAGCGGAAAATGTAGCTCAGCACATTTACGGCGAAGGGAGGCGATCTTCGTTGTACTTGCACGCTTTTTCGAGATGAAGTGAATTCGAATCGACTGTGCTAGCTGACCGGTGGACCGTGTGCGAGCCTGGCGATGGCGGCGCGTGAGCGTGCGAGTATCGTGACTACACGCTCTGGGTCGCGCTTCCTGTTGAAGTGGACCCTTGGATGCGTTACACCAGATATTTCACTTTCATATAAGCAATCATACACTTCCTTGCTGGATGAAGACTCCACCAGGCGCTGCAGCTACGCCGTATGGGCGAGCAATCCCGCATGCAGCCTGCGCAGAGTCTGCACAAAGCCTCCCGCCGATTTGGTCCTGGTCCCCGCCCCACGTGTGGGCTTCCGGCCAAGCAAGCGAATACGTCGTCGCGACTCGTGTGTGCGTGAAACGCGATGTTTGTCCTCGATGATATTACATGTTGCTCAAAGCACCCCATTGTTCGACGTTCGATCACTCTCCCCTCTCCACTGTAAGCCGACCCCCAATATCAGCACTCGCGTGTAACAGAAGACCGCAATGTACTTACTCACAGCGGCGTTCGGGGACCTCCCGATGCCTCCGAGGCTGAAAGTGAGCAAGGCCCCATCAGCACCACAAGCGACGAGGCAGAGTCGAAGCGAGAAAAACGCACGTTGAGCGGCCACGACAAGAAGCAGAACGAGTAGCAGCCGGTCTCGGCACAGTGCCTCGAGACCGCCTCGAGGCCGAAGAACTCCTCGATGGGCATTCCCCAGTCTGCAGTGGAGGGAGTCGTGTGAGCATAGAATGCAAGCGCGCACGCGCTCGGACGGGCGGACGTACCCGAGGAACGTTTGGTGCCAGACAGACAGAGCTGAGAGGCTGCACACGGAGGAAGCACCTCGGGCTCGGCATGTCCGACACGACCACCGCGAAGTGGTTGCTCCCTGCTCGATGCCCGCGCTGCCTGCATCGGATCAGCATCCTCCCCGCCAGCTCTCGCGGGGCACGACGGAGGACTTACAAGGTCTCGGGTTGGCCCGCATCGAGCCGTGCTCGTCCTGCGACGCTCCGTTGTAGCGCAGCGTGAAGCCCGCGCGGATGAGGAGGACGTCCCCGTGGCGGCAGGACGTGCCCTGCCATGCCACCTGCGCACACGCGAGGAGGTCCGCGAGCGGGATCGGGTGCGTAGTGAACGGTAGGACCGGAGCTTGCCAAGCTTGTCGGTGTAGGGCTTGACCATGTCGAGAAGCACGCCGCGGCCGCAGATCCCGTGCTGGGCCCAGTCTATCGCGAGCGGGTGCGCGATCAGTCCGTGGGCGACCGTGATGGGGAGGAGCGACGAGATGGGACGCAAGGGACGACGCACTGTGGATCCCGTACTTGATCAGCTCCGGGTTGACGTCGTCGGGGCCCCTGATGTCGAGGGAGCCGTCCTTGAAGAAGGAGTGGTCGACGCCCTGGTAGAAGCAGTTGTGCTCGATGATGCCGAAATGCTTCATCCCGTCCCACTGCGTGCCCGATTGAGTGTTCTGTCGGAGTGCGAGCTCAGCGGTCAGGAATCTCGACACACCCACGCGAGTACTCACGATGTGGAGCACATCGTCGTGGATATGGAGCGACGCTGCGCTGATAATCGTGTGCTCTGGGGTCTTGCAGCCAAACTGAGACTGGCTGGCGGGGCCGGGCATCCAGTGACCCCTCCTAATTATTTTAAATTTCACATTCGTTGATGCAAAATCGTATTAAGTCCTCCCCAGCAAGTAAGTGGTTCTCGACTTAATCCTCTACTGCAGCAAAGATTTAATCAAGTGCATGGTGAACATTCATGGGAATCGGGTTTGATTAAATCAGACCAACCAGCAGTTAATCGTGCACGCTGATGCTGAAGGTCAAGTGGGAATAATCATTGGGGGATGTGTGATTAAATAGGCTACAATTTAAATGTTGAAACCTGTGTCCAGACCACCAGGTTGAGACAGTCGGCAGCCTGATTATGTGCGCAGCGAGGCGGCGCGCGGCTGGTGAGGACGCGTGGCAGGTAGGACGGAGAGCGCTACGGACGGGGCGCAGCGAGGACGCCGAGGCGCGAGGCAGGGACGGGCACGGCGTGCGAAGCCAAACGGACGGAAGGGCGGAAAATAAAACAACTCACCTATGTATCTCTGCACGAGAGAGCAGGTGGGAAGAAGAGATGAAAAGAAGGGTGCGCACATGGATCGAGAACGTTGGTGATAGGTTCAAGTTGCGCAGTAGAACTTACCGAGAAAGGGCGCGCCATGAACTTCCACAGCGGAGACCCCACTTTGCTTCTTACCACGACTGTCAACAAACTTCCCACGCTCGACCTCACACGGGGGAAAGTCGAGCGTGCCTTCCAATCACTTCTCGAGTACTAAGGCTACAAAAGAACGACTCTGGGCAAGAGACACAGTCGAGAATGGGATCCAGACAGGACCCGGGCTTGCAGAAGCGTACCGCGGAACCGAAAGCGGGCGCTCCACCCGCCAGCACAGCGAGACCGGCTTCCCGGCTTCTCCGCGGAAGTCCACAGAGAGAAGTAGTCATTGACGAACACCTAACTATAGTAGACGGCGGGCAGGCGACGGAGTTCCTAGAAAGACATAGCGTCATCCCGGAGGGCCAACCCCCGAGTCGCGAGGCCCTCATAGCCGGGCTCTTCAGGTGCGCGGCCGATGCGAAGGGAGCCACGACCAAGGCGTGCATTGCGTCCTTGGCGCACTACGCGAAACTAGTACTCGACAAGGAGACGAACGCGACAATGGCCAAAGCACTGACGGAAAGGGTGGCGGAAGACCTGACGGCAAGGATGGACGGCTTCGCGATGGACGCAGCTAGGGAACTCAAGATTACGAAGGAGAGGCTGGAGGACGCGGCACAAGAGCTGGAGGGGAGACAACCAAACTCAGGGAACTACGGGAGGCCTTGGCCAAAGGGAGGGAGACGGGGGCGGCGACGGAATGGCCGTCGCTGCAGACAGGTGCGTACACTCCGAAGAGCACGTATAGCGGTGTGGCAGCGGCAGCCCCGGCGGTGTCGGTCCCACTGCCCCCGGCCCTCTCCGCTGCACGAGACGGGGCGTCCATTATGGACCGACAGGTCATGGTCCGAGGGCTTGCGCTGCCCGTATCGGGAGGGGCCAAGACGAGAGAGATGGAGATCATCGCGCGCGCGGGGGCTGCGATGGAGGGGCTGGCGAAGAGGGGAATTGTGCCACCCCCCGAGATTGCGGTCAAGTTCACTGCGGTGACGATTCAGGAGAGGGGAGACATAGTGTTGATGACCTCCACAGCGGAGGCTGCGCGATGGATCCGGGAGGTTTCTTCCGAGTCCTTCGCGCAGGAACTACAGGACGGGGCTTCTGTGGTTCAGCGCACGTACCCGCTGGTAGTGGGGGGCGTACCGACGGACTTCGACCCGGGCGACGAGATGGCGCTGCGGGGCCTGGAGGAGGAGAACGGGCTCGCGTGGGGAGCATCGTGGGTGCGGCGTGGATGAAAGCCCCCGAAAAGCGTTGGGCGGGGCAGACGATTGCGATGATGAGGGTGGTTTTTCATCTGCAGCCGCTGCGAACACGGCAATCGCGGAGTTCGTAGTCGCGGGCAGGAGGAGCAAAGTGAGGAAGCTCTCGGAAGAGCCTCTCCGCTGCCACAAGTGCCACACTTACGGCCACCTGGCTCGCAACTGCGGCAAGGCCGTGGAGACGTGCGGCCGCTGCGCCTCAGAGACGCACAGGACGGAGGAGTGCCCACACAAAATGGACGCGACACAGTGGAAATGCGTGAACTGTGGCGGAAGGCATGTGGCTTGGGATCGGACCTGCCCGGAGTACAGAGGGCGGGCGGATCGTCTCTACGAACGCAGAGTTGGGTCGGGTTACCGCTTTTTCGTGACCCGGGACCCGGCTTCCTGGGAACTCAGCCGCTCCTTCGCACAAGGGAAACGACCTTCCCCCTCGCTCTGGCAGGAAGTGGTTCAACCCGCTATCGAGAGCGGGGTGCCCCGCGTCCGTCCCAGCAGGGGCGACGGCGCCTCTGGCAGACAAGGTTGACTGACCAGGCGGGAGTGGACACCGCCGACCTAGCCCTCCGCCGCGAACAGCAGACACCATCCGACCAGCCTTTATCCCCATGAACAGTACAACCCTACCGCATTCCCCCACGCATCGACTCTGCATCCTTCAACTCAATGTAAACAAGGCCGGCGACGCGCAAACCGAACTCCTGAATCACCCCAAGATCTCCGACTACGACATTATCGCCCTTCAAGAACCCTACCTCATCTCCCCAGGGAAAACCTCCGTTGTCAGCAAGTGGAAGGTGGAGTACCCAGCCGTCCCGGATCCCGAAAACTCGGCGCGCATGCGCTCCATTATTCTCGTCAACCAACGACTCTCCACCAATACCTGGACCCGTCTTCCCGTCACCCACGCTGATGTCTCCGCCATCTCGATCACCACAGGCGACCGAGTCACTCACCTCTTCAACCTCTACGTCTCGCAGCAATCGGACTCCGCTATCCGGTCAGCCCGACTCGTCGTCACTAAGATCACTAGCGAGATACGGAAATCAGGGGACAAACGCACCCACTCGTTCATCTGGCTGGGCGACTTCAACCGACACCACCCGCACTGGGACGAGGAGCGCAACCTCCACCTCTTCACCCCGCCGTCCCTAGAGCGCGCCGAGACCCTGCTCAAGGTGGTAGCCGACGTCGGCATGGTCCAAGCTCTCCCACAAGGCGTCCCGACGCTAGAGGCCTCCCGCACGAAGAACCACACCAGGCCGGACAACGTCTTCTGCTCCGACGACCTCTTCGGCGTTCTGCTCTCGTGTGAAGTCATCCCCCGACTGCGCCCCCCAAAGACCGACCACTACCCTATCGTGACGACCTTTGACATCCCGCTCACCCTCGTCCAACGGCCGCCCCGCCGGAACTTCAGAGACGTCATCTGGCCGGAATTCGAGATTGCGCTCCGAGAGCGGCTGCAGGGCCTCCGCACGCCAGGCCCGATCTCTTCGCCGTTGGACTTTGAGGAGGCACTGGACGACACTCTGGGGGCCATCACTGCGACGATTGAGGAGTGCGTCCCGCTTACGAGGGAACAACCCTACGTTCGGCGCTGGTGGTCAAAGGAGCTAGAGGAGATGCGCAAGGAGAAGGAGAGGCTCTCGCGCGTGGCCCACAAGCACCGAGGAGAGGCGAACCACCCCGCGACGACAGAGTACCACCGCTTTCGAAACCGATACACGGATCGCATTCGCCTGGCAAAGCGAGAGCACTGGACGACGTGGATTAGCGGCATCGACGCGGACACCATCTGGATTGCAAACCGATACCTGCGCAAAGGGATCACAGACGGCAGCGCCCCACGCGTCCCCTCGCTCAAGTCTACGTCAGCCAGCGGAACCCCCTGCCTGCTTCACACCAACGAGGAGAAAGCGGAAGCTTTCCACAAAACCTTCTTCCTCCCTGCCGCCGCACCACCGTCTCTCTCGGAGCCCTACCCTCCCCCCAAGTTCAAGTACAGGCCGATCACCCGGGAGCAACTCCGCCACGCCATCGAGGCTACGCACTCATACAAGGCAGCTGGCCCCGACGGCATCCCAAACGAGGTGTACAAGAACTGTGCTGACGCCCTTATCCCGTTCCTCCTCCCACTCTTCCAGGCGACATTCGATCTCAACTACTATCCACAGAGGTGGCGAGAGTCGATCACCGTCGTGCTGAAGAAGCCAGGAAAGCCAGACTACGCTGTCCCGAAGGCCTGGCGACCGATCGCCCTTCTCAACTGCGCTTCAAAGCTCCTCACGAAGTGCGTCGCCGATGTTCTGCGCTACGAGGCGGAGACAAAGGGACTGGTGGCGAACTACCAGTTCGGGGGTAGACCGGGGAGGACCACGTCCGACTCGCTCCATCTACTCACGAAGACGGTGAAGGACGCCTGGCGGCGGGGTAAGGTGGCCTCCACCCTCTTTCTGGACATCAAGTCTGCATACCCAGCGGCCTCCCCTGAACGTCTCTACCACAACATGCGCATGCGTGGCGTCCCGGAGGAGTACGTCGGATGGCTACAGGTGAAGCTGGCAGGCCGCACCACCACCATGGTCTTCGACGATTTCGCCTCGGACCCATTCCCGATCGTAAGCGGGATCGACCAAGGCTGCTCCGGCTCCGTCATATTCTACATCTTCTACAACTCCGACCTCATCGACACTGCGATCATCGACAATCGAGAACTATCCCCCGGCTGCATGGACGATGTCTATGTGCTAGCGGAAGGGGACGACTTCGAGACAGAGGACGGAGACGGCGCACACGATAAGTTGGACGAGGTGATGACCAGAGTGGGAGGGGGTTTCGAGTGGTCGCGGGACCACAACTCGGAGTTCTCGGTGGACAAGTTTGGTGTCCTCAACTTCACGCGTCGCAGCGGGGCAGGTGTGGGGCCCCCGCTCCGCTTACGACGCGGTCGCCTCCCACTGGGTGCCGTCCCTGTAGCCCAGGGATGCCACTCATATTTTTGACACTGTAGCCCGGGGATACCACTCGGGTGGGCTCATATGAGCGGGCGCTCTGTAGCCCATATTCCCGCTCATATGAGGACACAGCCACACATGTGAGCCTGCCTCTACCGCCTTTGTATAACACTCTGACTACTATTCCTGCT